CAGAGAGCTAGAAACATCGATGGGAGAGAAACACGGATCAGCTGCCTCCTCACACCCCCACTGGGGATCAGCAGCCCAGGCTCAGCTGCAGAGCCACACCGGGCGGCCTAAATGCCATCTGACTCTGACTCTGCAGTCACAGTCCCCGATGGGCTGGCATCTTCACACGGCCACACAGAGGACTGAGAGGCCAGCCCCCCCATGGCCTCGGGCACAGGGCTGGGGTCGCCCTCCCGGGCCTTCACATAGGCGACCTCTGGGAAGACGCCCAGGTCACACAGAAAAGCCTTTGGGGCCACAAAGGCGAAGGGTGAGGGGCGGGGCGGGGCTGGCCGGGAGGACCTGTGCGCACAGGTGAGCCTCCTGGTCAGTGCGGTTTGGGGTGGACCCTGCGGGTGGGACATGGTGCCTGCGTCCCCCACACATACACACACATACTGCCTAGTGCCCCCTGGCCTCACCCAGCCTGGCCTTACCAGCCTGGCCTGGCCTCACCCGCCTGGCCTCACCCATCTGGCCTCACCAGCCTGGCCTCACTAGCCTGGCCTCACCCAGCCTGGCCTCACCCGCCTGGCCTCACCAGCCTGGCCTCACCCAGCCTGGCCTCACCAGCCTGGCCTCACCAGCCTGGCCTCACCAGTCTGGCCTGGCCTCACCAGCCTGGCCTCACCCCAGCAAGGTCTCTGGTAAAACCGGAGGACACAGGACAACAAGACAACTAAAGACACAGAGAGTGAACAGAACCAGGTGAAAGCAAGAGGAAGAACAACAAAACTCCAAAAGAAAGTGGTTGCTTTAAAAATAAAAGCAGTTTAATTTGCGTTAAGTGTAACAACCTGCAGCCTGTACACTCCCGGGAACACAGCCGGGGCGACGGGCGAGCCGGGAACTGGGATTCTGAAGACAATCACCACCGTTTCAGGAAACACGTGCCCAGAAGCCCCGAGAGGAGGCCGCAGGCCACGCACTCACACACGTGCTTCCCACTCTGGGCTTGGGCTCCCCCGCACGGTTTTTAACCGGAACCAACTCAGAGTTAACAACCAAGAAGCACAGCCTGCTGGGGCGTGTGGGCCGGCCGGCCGGCAGCAGTGTCCTCCCCTCCTGCTGGCGAGGAGCCTGTGGCGGAAGCTCGGCCAGTGGAGGACCGGGCTCCGGGCAGATGAGATCCAGGCCCTGGCTGCCCCGGAGGGGACGGTGAGGAGGCACCGGCAGGGGCCGAGAGAAAGAGACCGTGAGCCAGGCAGTCTCCGTTATGTGGAGCAGCTGCTTCACTTGAACAAGGCGTGTGCAGCTCTGCGTTCTTTGTTAAAGTCTTATTTGTCCGAGATCTGATCAGTGTTTGACAGAGATGAAGGGAGGGAGAGAGATAGAAACATCAATGGGAGAGAAACACCGATCAGCTCTGTGAAAATCCAAAAAAACGAAACAACTAAGTCCTAATAGCCCTGGCCGGGTGGCTCAGTGGTTGAGCATTGACCTGTGAGCCAGGTTGACTCTTGGTCAGGGCACATGACCAGTTTGCAGGCTCCATCCCTAGTGCAGGGTATGCAGAAGGCAGCCGATCAATGATTCTCTCTCATCATGGATGTTTCTCTCTTTCCCTCTCCATTCCTCTCTCTGAAACGAATAAAAGCATTGAAAAGACCCTTTAAAGAATCATTCTACTATTGGTCTGCAAATGGTTGCTCTCCCTTCTCTACTGACTCTTTACTCTTGTGATTCTTTGCTCTCTTCACGCCACAGTGATGGGAGTTCAGGGTGGAGCCCCTCCTGCTGCCGCCCAGGCCCCTTCCAGACCGTGTTGTGCTCTCGGTGCCAAGGTGGGATGCCCTGGCCACGAGGCCGCCGAGCCGAGTTAACCAGGCCCAGGCCGCTGAGCCGAGTTAACCAGGCCTTGGGAGATGAGTTAATGAGACTCCAGGCAGCTGAACTGACTTAACCAGGGCCGAGGCAGGAGGGCTGAGGTAACCCGGCCCGGGCAGTAGGGTCTAACTAACCAGGCTTAACCAGGCCCCAGGCAGCAGCTCTGAGTTAACCAGCACTGGGCTTCACTAGCAATGCTGCCTGCACAGCGTGGGCTCTGTGGGGGACAGTGGCGGATTTCCAGCCATTAATCCAGAGGCTTCCAGCCTCACTCTATTCCTTAAAACGGGAGGTGAGCTCTCAGGGTGCCGGCTGTGTTCGGCGCTGGCTCCCCTGCGGGGAGGTTCCTCACACCGGGTCCTCTGCAGGTCCTCTGGCCCTCGGGCGGCAGGTCTTCCTAGGCAGGAAACGTTCACAGTTATGAGGCCAGTGCACGAAATTGTTGCCCATTAAAAGAGGATTAGAGGAAATATTTTAATATTGCTATTTGCCCTTTGTAATAGAAGTGTCAGAGATGAAACAAAATTAGTAAAATGTATATGAAAACCTTCCTCCTATCAGAGTCTCGGACTCACCACGGGACCCGGAGTCAAATCCCCACCCACCCACATGCACCTCAAAATCCTGTGAGACCCAGACCCCCGCCCCTCCCCCATTGGGCTAGATCCAGGCCTGGCCAGTCCCGCCCTCGTCAAGTCCCACTGGGCAGGGGGCATGGCCTCAGGTCCCGTGGTCCGGCACCAGGACAGGGGGCATGGCCTGGGGCCCCCCCCTGAAGTCCCCCGTCAAGCGCTGCCGGGCAGGGGTGCAGTCTGCTAGGGTGGGGGGCACAGCCTGAAGTCAAGCCTCACCTGGTGGCGGCACCAGGACGGGCAGCTCACCTGAGGTCCCACTTCAAGTCCCACCAGGCAGGGCCGTGGCCTGAGGCCCCCGCCGAGCCTCACAGGGGCAGGGGAGGGCACAGTCTCAGGTCTGCTGACGGCTCAGAAAGGCTCCTTATGGGAACTTGGCCTCAGCTGTGGGTGCAGCCATCTTTGTACGGAGTGATGGCCAATTAGCACATCCCTCTTTATTAGAGAGGATTCTCCGTTCCATCTCCAGCTCATTAGCCTCAACCAAGGACCCTCAGCCTTTCGGGAGCGAGAGCCAGGAGTCCGCCCAGTGTGGCCCATGGCACACAGATCTCTTTCTGGCCGAGATGAGCTGAGGCGGCCCTGGGCAGCAGAGCTGAGGTAGCCAGTTCACTGCGGGTCGATGGTCTCTACCTACAGCGCAGAGGCAGGGAAGAGGAATTAAAGGTGCGATCGTTTCCGTTAGCCACTTCACCCCGAGCAAATGCCCGCCTTCTCCCCCCTGCTGCCTGCTGCCCGCCGCCCGCCGCCTGAGCCTGGGTGGCCGGAGGGCCGGGCCTGGACTGCAGGGGGGATCTGGCTGCACATTCCCTCTAAGCCACTGGTCCCTGCGGTAAGGAAACAGCCCCCTAGTCCTCGCTTTTCCTGGGAGTTACGTTGATTTAGTCAGTTTTTCAGGAATTCAGGGCTTTCAAATCTGGGAAACTTCTAAATAGGCTGAGCATTCCTGTTATTACCAAAGATTATGTAATATTAAAACTATTTAAATGCAGTTTTTTAGCCAGAAGGAAAAATATTTAATTTCATTCAAAAACTATTTTTCTAAAGGCGTTTGTAAGGAAAAGATGATTAAAATAGATTTTACTGCAGTCTGTAACATGCAGTCTGAAGAGTGGCCAATTTAAGATGACGACTTTAGCAAACAAGGTTCTAAACGTACCAGGCTGGGCAGTTAGAATTACTGTCACTACAGGAAGCTCATGTGGGTGAGATACACCACACACTCCCAGAGGATGGGCTCAGCTCTGAGTGATCCTGGACGTGCAGCAACAGAAGGCGCTGGGCAAGAGCCATGTGAGAGCCAGGCCGACCCACACGTTATACACACACACACTCACACACACACAGACTCACAGATCCCATGGGTGACGGTGTGACTGGTTTGCTGACTCTGTGACGTGTGGAAAAGCAAACTTCCAGAGAGTTCATTCGAATAACTGAGAGCCCCCAGGACCCGGACAACCGACTTCTCGCAGCAGCAGATGCGCACGGGCCCAGCTCCGGGGCCTGTGGGGCGGCTCAGAACTGCCCGGACGTCCCTAACAGGCTCCGGACACACAGAACGGGCACCGTCATTGCCGTACGAATAAGAACTCCGAGCCAGCGTCGCATGCAATCTCTTTTATTTTTCTAGCGTTTTGTACACCGAGGACCAGGGTGTGGCTCACAGCAGCACAGACACTGCGTGTGCGGGGCGCGTCCGCTCACTGGAGGGAGGGGTTGCCTCGGAGATAATCACGGACTGCACAGCACCGCACGCTCACACACACATCCCAAAGCCAGCGGTTCCGGATCCGAGGTCCTCCATCCGTCCCGCCTGACTGGTCAGAACACGGGTAGGCCGCGCAAAATAACACGCTGTGAAAACGTTAGACACTTGAGCCTCAGGCAGGGAGATCCTAAACAGCAACTACGTCAAGCTAATAACCTATCTGCACAGGAACGAAGGTCGTGAAGGAAGCCATCGGAGGGACACTGCACTAGGCACTCACGCTACAATCACATCTGAACCCCACGCCTGGAGGGCCCCGCCCCCGAGGAGCCAGGTTCTCCTTGCTGCCGGGGCCGGCGGGGAAACCGGCACACGCTTCACGGTTCCAGAGCGATGGCGGTCCGGGCCGGAGGGAGGAGCCCAGGGACTGTGGACCCTCTCAAAGCCCCTTTATCCTCCATTTCCCACTTAGGCTTAAAACCCTTGGATAAGTGGCCTGACTGGGTCTCAGTTTGCCTCCAGTCTCTGGCTGCTCCGTACCTGTCAGTTCTCCTCTCTTACCCTAAAAGCGAACTGGGCTCGAGCCTGCCTCAGTCTGCGAGCGCTCCCCAGGGCGCTGTTTTCTTGGCGAATTACAGCCTTTGTATGTGAGATACCTGAGCCGTCCTTACCCTCGGACCCTCTCAGACGTTTTCATGGGGTTGGTGCCGATGGAAGGTAAAACAGCAGGAAGTCTGGAAGCCTCTACTCTTCTAGCTACAAAGGCAGCGGGCAGCCTGAGGCGGCAGCGGCCTCTGCCCACGGCCTTGCGCTCACTGTACACACACAACAGACACACGGGAATGAAAGGGTGCCCTCGCCCTACAGCCCGGTCCGCTGCCCCGGCCTCGGGTGCCGCCCGCGGGCTCCCTACAGGATGCTCTCCCGCTCCTCCCCGAAGCCGGCGCTGTCGGCGGCCGCGGCCAGCAGCTCGGAGGCCTCCTTGGAGAGCCGGGCGTAGCTGGCCCGGGGGCCCCGCTTGGGCGCCGGGCCCCGCAGGTTCTCGTTGTGCAGGGCGGTGGCGCTGGGGCTGGGCCGCAGCGGGACGGGGCCCGTGTCCCGGGGCCCCTCCCTCTCGTCGAGGCCCTGGGTGGGCCTGCCGGCCGGGGCGCTGTTGTTGTTGAGGGTCACGGTGCTGGGCGTGCGGTTGAGGTTGAAGGCCTTGGGGCCGGCGGGCCAGGCCTCCTCGGGGCTGCTGGCCACCAGGCTGCACTCGGACGGGCTCGGCTTGTCCTCGGAGCAGATGGACATGCGGGCCAGGCCGGGCTCGGGCAGGCCGCTCAGGCTGCGCGGCGGCCCGCGGGGGCCGTCCTCCCCCAGCTCGATGAGGTCGGCCTTGTCCAGCCGCGCGTCGCCCGCCTCGTTGAGCAGCGAGTGGCTGGGGGAGCTCTCGCTGGAGCGCACGCCCGAGTCGGACGAGTCCTTCTTGTCCAGCAGCGCGTCCGACAGGTACTCCTTGGCCTTGATGAAGGAGCGCAGGGGCTCGGCGCCGCGCTCGGGCGACCGGGCCGCCCGCTCCGCCCGGCCCTCGGCCTTCCGGTCCTTGTCCTCGCGCAGCAGGGGCGTGTGGTCGGACTCCTCGGGGCCGGACTCGTCCTCGTCGCTGGGGAGCTTCTGGTAGCGCAGGCCGCCGCCCTTGAGCTTCAGGTCCGTCTGGAAGAGGCTGGGCCGCTCGGAGGACTTGCGGCCCGGGAGCAGCTTGCTGGCGGCCTGGTCGGACCGCTCGTCCTCCTCGGTGATGGGGTCCAGCGGGGAGGCGTCGCTGGTGGAGATCCCGGACGAGGAGTAGTCCAGGACGTCGGCCCGCTTCAGCAGGAACGGCTTCCGCCCGTCCTCCGGCCTCGGCTCGCCGTCCTTGGCCTTGTCCGGCTCCAGGGCCGCGTGCAGGGAGCCCCCCGAGGCGCTGGGGCCCAGGTAGCACGTGCTGTGCGGGGAGGACCTGCCGCTGACGGCCGTGGAGCCCGGCCCCCCTTCTAGCTGCGACATCTGCGCGATGTACTCCCTGTAGGCGTCCCGGTACTCCGCCTGCACCTTGTCCGTCAGCTTGGAGATCTCGATGCTGGAGTCCTGCGAGTTGAGGCTCGACAGGCTGGGCGTTCTGCGCGGCTGCGACTGCGAAGACAGAAAATAACGTCAGCATTAGTGAGCAAGAGGGGCGGGGCAGCCAGCCCGCAGGCCTCGGCGGTGGAGCAGCGAGCTATGAACCACAAGGTCAGGGTTCGATCCCCCCCACCCCGCTTTCCTGTCTGCGCTCGCCCCGTCCAGCCACCGAGCTTCTCCCTCGGGCAGCACGGCCCGCAGCCCCCATCGCTGACCACGGCCTTACTCCCTCCCTCTCTCCCTCCCTCCCAGCCCGAGCCGCGGGCGGGCGCACCTGCCAGCTGAGGTTGCTGTGCCGCGGGGCGCCCTCCTCCAGGCCCAGCGTGTTGAGCTCCTCGAAGCTGAAGTTGAGGGTGTAGGGGGCCTGGCCCGGGAGCTCGGTGTGCGGCAGCTCGTGGGGGGCCCTGCGGGCCGGCTCCCCCGGGGCCGCGGGGCCGCTGTTGTTCTCGTTGAGCAGCCGCAGGTCCTCCGCGGCCGCCTGGTGCTCCGCGCTCCGCAGCTCCAGCACCTGCGGGGAAAGCGCCCCTGAGACATCCACCTCCAGAACCTTCTGGAGGCCCCGCACACCCTGCCAGGCCGCAGGCAGCAGCATCAGAGGTCACTTAGACATAAAAGCAAGTTATCCTCTGGACTGAGCAGACACTCCGTAAGCGCATGCCCACGCGTGTGTGTGTCCTGTCCCCCTCGTGCACACGGAGGAGGAACGGGCACAATCACATGCGTGTCATGCTCACATCTGACCGTCCCGTGGCTGTTTTAACCGAAGGACAAAACAAAGGGCAGCGGGGAGTGTGAGGACCGGGCTGGGCGGTGCTCCCGCGGAGAGACCAGCTGTGATCAGGAGCCACTGCGGGGGGGAGGGGGGGGCACACAGGACCCCAGGGAGCGTGGGGCCCAGTCCGAGCCTCAGGAGCAGGGGCCAGCGGGAGGGGACGGCTGAGGGAGCAGCCAGGGCCGGGGCTCTGAGCCTGCTGGGCGGATCCTGGCCGGAGGCGGGTGGGGGCCGTGTCCGGGACGCTGGGATGAGGGCCGCGGGGGGGGGGGGCGGACACCGAGCGCAGTGTTTGCTGAGGAGACACAGGACTCCGCTGTGAGGGGCGTGCAGGCCTGCCCAGGACGGACGGAGGCCACGGCCTGAGCTTGGGCGGAGCAGAGGCAGGCGGAGGGGAGGGGAGGCCGAGGGCGGCATCGGGCTGGGTGCCTGCCCGCAGGACACGCCTCGGCAGGTGCCCACACGCATGCTCCCTGCCTTTCAGGACGCACAGGCCCTCCGCCCGGCCCTGCTGCCCGGACGCCGGGAGCACAGCCTCACCGCACTCCGGAACAGGTGCCAGTCCCCGAAGTTCATGCTCATCTCCTTCTTCAGCTCCTCGAGGTCGCACTGCGCCAGCACACGGCCGTTGACGTTGGCCTGGGGACGGGCGGGGGGAGGTGAGGCTCGGGGCGCGCAGCTCACACGGCCCAGGGCCGGCCAGGCCGTCCCACACCACAGGCTGAGAGCGTGTCGGCGTCCTCGCTCAGTGACCCACCTCTTCCGGGACCAGGCGGGGCCGGCCTCGGGCTCTGTCCATACCCCCTCCCGCCAACCCTGCCCCATCCCAGCATGCACTGCGGCTGCCGGGGGGACCGAGAGCACAACTCAGAGCTGCGTGCACAGGTCCCCCCCTCCCCACCTCGGGCATGGCTGCATGCACAGGCTCTCCCCCGGGCAGGCAGGGCCGGCTCACCTTGCGGATGGTGGCGCAGTACTGCGGCAGCATGCTCGGCTCCAGCCCCTCGATCTGCTTCAGCCGCTCGCACACGGCATCCACGGTCATGGCGCTCAGCGCCCCCACGCCGGGGGCCGGGCCCGCGCCCTGGAACACGCGGGAGAACGTGTTAACGGAGGGGAGAGGCGGGCACAGCCGGAGCTCAGGGAGACACACCAGCACTCACTAACAGTGTCACTACAGGACAAGCAGGGAGCGTGGGGGGCGGGTCCCGCTGTCCCCGTCCTCAGCAGCTCTCCCCACTCCACGGCCTGGCAGCCTCTGCAGGAGGGCAGCCTGGGCACGCCAGGCCCCCAGAGGGTGCACTCCGAGCGCCGGGGCAGGGCTGAGCCTGATGTAAGCCAGGGGCCGGGTGCCCTCAGGGCGCCAGTGCTGTCCCTCCTCAGACAGCTCAGCAGTCGGACCTGGGCCATCTCCGGTTACACTTCCCTTACGCTGATCTATACCACGTAACCAGAAGGCATCCCTCTTCACACGTGAGAGTAAACAGCCCGTGACGACACGGTCTCCTCCAGAGAACCAAAACCAGTCCCCGGCGTTCACCGAGAAGGGCGTCCATGGCAGAGGATCTGCTTCTTTGGTGAAATGAGCTGCCCTGTAACCCACCAAAGCCAGTCTGGCTCGGCTTCTGCGCTGAGCTCTGGGGAGAGGGAGGTGCAGCGGACTGAACGTCAGCGTGCTTCTGGGGACAGAGGCGGCGGCGTTACCGCAGGTTTTCTACGATGGCCGCTGTCATAAAACTAGCTGGTGCCCGTGAATCTCACGGAGGAAGGAGAAACAGAACAAGCGCGATAAGGAAAAAGCAAACGTGATGACTTATCGGGTAAACACTAAAACCTGACTCGATTACTGGGCGCAGAACGGCAACACTAAAGCTCATCACGCGTTCTCACTTGGAAACGGCCTGTGACAAGTCAAGAACAGATCGTTTCAGCACACATCACACTTCCTTCTTAAAAAACTTCCTAGCACGAAAACTGGAACGCAGAGGACGTTGGTTTGCTGAAACTGCTGTGTAAGTGTCAGAGCGCACACCGCCTGGGACTCCCCCGGGCCCACGGGCGTTCACAAACGGACTGGAACCGCCTCGAGGGGCACTGGTGTCATCGGGGGAGGCGGGGACCAAGCCCTGGCACACCCACCCGGGGAAGGGGCAGGAAGCGGAGGGGCACGGGCGCGCACGCCCAGCAGGCAGGCGCCAGGCTGCTCCAGCAGCCTCATGGGAGGAGATCTCAGAGGTGTCGGTACCGTCTCTGCGTGTTAAACCCGCAGGCACACGGCTTCAGGGAAGGAGTGAGACAGAATGAAGGGCACGTGTGTAACACACACACATAGGACACGCACAGCAGCACCTGTCCCTTTCTCACTCTCACACTCACCTCCACGCAGCACCAGCGGGGGGCACCCACCCACCCACCCCCGCAGGCCCATCTCATGAACACGCCTGGCAGTTTTTAAGTTGCACTCTCGTTAAAATGTATGTTCTACCGGAAGAAGAAATTATTGGCCGTCCATTCAACAACAAAAAAGCCAGGTAAGTCAAATTTGTTCTGAAAAGTCAATAATCCTACTGCCTCCAGGTTTAAAGTTAATTGTTAAACATTACGATTTAAAAATGCAATGACTTATTGCAGACCAATTTAACAAGATCTAAATACTTGGAATCCACATGATGATGTCATAAAATGAAATATTTTCTAGCTACACTATAGTTAATGTTCAAAACCACACTTTTCCAAATCTGTGTTGTTTCATTGGGCGTGAAGCACATGTAGACGCACTAAAAACACCATTTAAAAGTAAGGCCTTTGCAGCCTCCAGCTCAAGGCAGCATGGAGGGTAAGAACCCCTGCAAACTAGGATCCACATAACCATTCTGGTGACGGAGAGGGTTCTGCTGTGTTGTTGTTTTTAAATATGTTTTTATTGATTTGAGAGAGAGAAAGGGAGACAGAGAGAGAAACCTTGGTGAGAGAGGAACAATTGGCTGCCTCCAGCACGCCCCCTACTGGGGATGGAGCCCACACCCTGGGCCTGTGCCCTGAGCGGAAGCGAACCCTGACCATGGTGTACCGGAGCCGCACTGGCTGTGGCTCGGTGGGGAGATGGGAGTTTTTAAAATCTCCTTCCAATCAGACTCGGGCCATGAGTTGTGTTTCCGTCCTGATGAGGGTGAAGGTGAAGGTTCTTAAAAGGGCCACAACCGCCAAGACCGGTTTGGCTCAATGGATAGAGTGTCGGCTTGGGGACTGAAGGGTCCCGGGTTCGATTCCGGTCAAGGGCATGTACCTTGGTTGCGGGCATATCCCCAGTAGGGGGTGTGCAAGAGGCAGCTGATCGATGACTCTCTCTCATCGATGTTTCTAACTCTCTATCTCTCTCCCTTCCTCTCTATACAAAATCAATAAAATATATTTAAAAAAAAAAAAAAAAAAAAAAAAAAAAAAAAAGGGCCACAACCACCCAGAGCCGACAGCCCTGGCCCCCTGGTGATGGCAACGGCGCAGACGCTGCCTCTGATGCCGCCGTCACCCGCACCGGGGGGGGGGGGGGGGGGGGGGGGGGGGACGACCGTGGTGGTTTGGTGTCAGCCCCGTGCTAAGGCTCTTTGCGGAGTGGCTGTGTGTGTGCGGGAGACAGGGCTGCTGAGGGACAAGCAGAGGAACGCTATTGGCTCTCCCGCTGGGACATGTCACCCCCTCCCCTCACGTGAGAGCAGCAGTGGCTCCGAGCGGCCGGCGGGCTCAGCACCGTGCTGTAAGGACAACGTTTTAAAAACCAAGTGCTGAGCCGCTGCCGTGAACATGGCACAAAGTTTTAGCCGTCCTCTAAATGCCAACCGTTCCCGTGAACATGGCACAAAGTTTTAGCCGTCCTCTAAGTGCCAACCGTTCCCGTGAACATGGCACAAAGTTTTAGCCGTCCTCTAAATGCCAACCGCGCCCTCACTACAGCCTCCCGTTCCCGTGGCGACGGCCCAGCCCCGAGGGAGCGGCGCCCTTACCCACGGCGTCGGCGGCTGTCCCGTCCACGGCCGCGCCTGGCGAGAGAGACAGCGTCAGGGACACGCACTCGCCCGGCGCCGGGCGAGGCCAGTGGTGGAAACGGGCTGCCTGGCCGAGCCCATCGCTCTACTCCCCCTGGGCCCGGGACTGTCCGGGGAAGCCAAGGCCTCCGCTTTTAACCCCTTCATGAGCGATCTGAATGGCGCTCTCTTGGGCTGCGGGCTTCTCTGCTTCCCTCCAGCTGGACTCGGAGTCTCGGTCCAAGGCTCCTTGGCGGCCGTCCGCTCTGGCCCATGCTGGCTCCTCTACAGCGGCCGGCACCTACCCCCTCCGCCGCCCCCACTACGAGCCCTGGCCTCCTGCAGTCCCCTCACAAGATACACCCCCCACCGGCCTCGTGGTAGACGGGCCGCCCTTGCTCACAGGCTGTGCCTGGCCAGCTCCTGACGTCTGCCCTCCTGGTGCCTGCTCTAAGCTCCTCACGTGTCTGCAATGACAGTCTGTCACCCGGTGCTCTGCTGAGGGACAGCTGAGCGAGCAGAGAGGGGCTCCATCAGAGACACAGTGTCCCCCCGGGACCGGAAGCCACGGGGCCACGAGGTAACCCTCTTCCCGGCCGCCGCGTCTCCACTGGCTCAGCGTGAGGCCCAGGCTGTCCCCCGACGGCTGCCCCCGTTTCCACCACTGCTCTAGTCGGTGTGAACGTGTCTACTGCGACCGGGCTACGCACACTCTACAGCTACGGCCGCCGTTAGTTTCCTAAAAGCAGAGCAGCTCGGTAAGGCCCGGTACTCACTAGGCAGGTCAGCTACCGTTAACGTGAGGAAAGCGGCAGACGGTTATCTCACTGCACAGGGGCCGCGCCCACTCGGGTGCCGGACCCCGTCCCCGGCTCCTTTCCGGACGAGCTCAGCACCTCCCGGGCTCAGCGCCCTCGCTGCCGCCCCCGGGGCCCCGAGGACACCCCGTCTGCGCGGGGACAGCTGTGTCCCCAGGGCTGTATGGCCACCAGTGCCTCAGTGTCTGCCGTCCATCGGGGGGGGGGGAGGCCCTGCCCGCTGGAGGCCCTGGATGAACAGCAGTCCCCCTGCGACGGGCAGTGACCGGGCTGCGGGCTCCTCCGGCACCGAGCGGTGAGGACGGCTTCCTGCACCCTCTCCTGGGAGCCACTCAGCGCTCCAGCGAAATGCCAACGATTTTACAAGGGTCACCGAGCCCTCGAGAACACCAAAGGGTTTCCTCTCTCTCAGGAACATTAACTGAATGACAGTAAGAAGACTACCGTCTTCCCCATGGTGAGCCCCCGCGGGGAGCCCGGGCCCGTCTGTGAGCAGCCAGAAGCGAAGGAAGCTTCTAGGCTCATCGAGGAAACGCAGGTCTGTGAGCGAGAAGCTGAGCAATGAGACGCACAGCGGCTTCCTCTCGGGGGCGCCGCTGACACCCGGCCTTTCCTTTCGCAGCCTCGGGGGGAGGGGACGTGCACATGCCCTTGACCGGACGAGGAGGGGATGTGCCCTATTTTCAGTTATTCTCCATGCGGAGGCTCAGGAGAGCCAGCAGAGGGATCACCACCCCAGCACTGCCCGGCCCGGGGAGTGGACGACACGGCACCGGCACCGCGCTGCCCGTCACGCCCGGTCATTAGCGGCCACACGCGGATGCAGTTAGTGGGCCGAGCGAGGCGCTGCCACGCCACACACACGCCATTACCCTCGAGGGGCTGGTGGGCGAGGGGAGCCCCTCAGCTGCGTCCTCCTTGATGACCTCCTAGCAACACAGAACAGAGGTGGTGAGGGCGCGGGAGGAGGACACGGGTTAGGGCCGCGGCACCTGCAGTGACACACGTCCCGTCCAGGGAAGGCTGGGTCCTACGCCTCTGCCCCCGGGTTGTATGATCTGTCCACAGGGACTTCCTTCTTTCTTTAGGTTACTTAACGAACCTGACCAGCAGGGGCACCTAATGTTAGCAAAAATGGGCTGCTTTGGATTAGATTAAAAAGTAGCTACATTTGAATAACTTCCTTTTCCTATTTAATTTCTGCCATTAAACTTAACATGTTCTTTCCATGTATCACCTGATTTTTACACAAAAGGGCTCACATACATACAGATGCCACCTATGCGTGTCCTTTAAAGACACTGGGAACCAGCAGGAGTGAAGGCCTGTGTAACGCGGTGACAAACGCGCACTGTAAGCAGACACGCGCTGTCAGCTTCTCAGCCTTCCCCCCGCGGCCGCCGGGCGGCCCTTCACAGAGTCCACAGAAAGGAAAACACATACGCTCACGTTGGTAACAGCTGAGGTTTCCTGAAGCTGTTTACAAAGTAAGCTGCATTCTCTTTCTACAGAAAGGAAATAACCCACTCTAATGTTCTAGATGGTTCTTAGCAGAGTAATACTTTAGTTACCCCTTTTTATACTTACTAGGCCATTGGTTTGATCTCTGGACAAACTCGATTTTACTGTTGGACGTGAGATGAGATGTTGGGAACCGCCAGGGTAATACCGTGGCGAGTAAAAGTAGGGGGCAAAGAATGGCTATGGAAAAAACACGTAACAAAAGAACGGGATAAACAATCACGGAAATCAAAGGGTAATGAGACTTATCAAATGAAACTAAACAACAAAACACAGACTTTAATGCAAATGACAAACGAAAGAAAAAAGCCTTTCTCATATTCTACCAGATATCAAACCCCAAACTTGACATATTAAATTATTACACTGACTTACTAAAAGCTTTTTTTAAAGCAACTAAAGTCTTACACCTTATAATTTAACACACGAGTGTCTCTTTATATTAGTAATTTTATGGGCTAATTACCAAGTGTTAGGTTCTAAATGATTTATAAATATTAACATAATCTCTTATAAAAAAGCAGAATGGAATCTTAATAGAAAACTATTCTTTACCAAAAGTAAATAAATAAAAATAAATAAAAGGTTAGCTTAGGTAAGACCAGATGTGTAGTCTGTGTGACAACAGCCTGCACAGACCTCAGAGGGGAAGCCAGAGTCCCGGCGGGAGCTGTCACTCTCAGCGTTTACCCTGACGAGCTCCTTGTTAGCGGGAGCTGCCAGACTGCATGGGCAAAGGCCAAGATTAGGGTTCCCCCGCTTCAGTGTCCTACAATGACACCTTTCTCACTCCTGCCGTTTTAAGAAAATTATTCTGCTTTTACTTCCTGATTACAAACCTCAAATAACTACAAAAAAGTAACTAGACTTAAAACTGTGAGAGAACTGTAAATGTTTTAGAAATAATAAAACGTTATTAAAATATCACATGATGTTCTTCACGTGAAATGGGTGAACACAGGTCTCAGCCTGGATGGTGTGGTAATTTTTGAAAAATAAGTTCATGGTCTCAAAAGCTCAACTGTCCCCAAATGGTCAGCGGAGCCGTTCTGACTCCATGTCAGCGGCTGGGCCGGAAGTGCCCGCACCGCCTGCCGAGCGCCAGGCGGGCAGCGGGCACCCCTTCGCCCCGCACTCCGAGCAGCCGGGATGGGCGGCCAGTGACCCACGGGGCCAACGCTGTTAACAAATTTAATTTAATTTAAATGCTGGTCCTAGCCCGCTTCCTCGCTCACGTGGGCTGAGTGTGGCCAGAAGACCAGCTGTTTCTGGACTGGACTGAAGCAGGAGACAACGGAGCTGACGTGACGGGCCGGGCACCGGGCACTCAGCTGCGCTCCCTCTCTCCAGCAGGAGGCTCCCGGGCCCCTGAGTCACAGCGACCCGTGCCGAGACCGAAATGAGACTGTAACGGCTGAGGCGTTAATTCGGCCAAGGCGTCAGTCCCACAGGCAGGATTCCTATTACCGTCTCCATTTAAAAGCTACACTGCAGCCCTAGCTGGTTCGGCTCAGTGGATAGAGCATCAGCCTGTGGACTAAAGGGCCCCAGGTTCGATTCCGGCCAAGGGCATGTACCTTGGTTGCGGGCACATCCCCAGTGGTGGATGATGCAGGAGGCAGCTGATCGGTGTTTCTCTCTCATCTATGTTTCTAACTCTCTATTCCTCTCCCTTGCTCTCTGTAAACAATCAATAAAAATAAAAAATAAAAAAAGCTACACCGCACACGAAGCACAGTCGCTGACCCCCTGCAGCGTCTCCGACCACACGGTGTCCAGCCCACGGGAAGCACATGCAGACGGAACCGTCCAGCCTGGCTGACGGGCACAGCGCGGGCTCCTTCCCTCCGGCTGAGAGCGCACAGCCTCGCCTGACCTGAGACCCACTAACATGCAGCGTCCTCCAAGTTTAAAATAGCATATACATTAAATTTAAACGTAACCTTTTCCTAGTTTTAAAGCTAAAGGACAGCTTCTAAGTAATCCAGCCCCCTCAGCAGGAACGCCTGGTGCTCCCGCCTGCTCACCCGGTTGTAGAAGGGGTGCTGGGGCCCCGTCATCCCGCTGTAGTAGCTGCTGTGCGGCTGGGGGGACACCACGCCCCCGGCGAAGGGGCCGTTGAAGGAGGTGGTCGAGGAGCAGACGGACGGGGGCTGGCTGTAGCCGGACGCGGGCCGGGGGGCGGCTTCGTGCAAGGGCAGCGGGGGGTAGGCCAGGCCGCCGATGTTGATCTGCTCCCGGGCAGCGCGGACATCTGGAAGGTAAGGGGTCCCAGAGGAAGAGACGGACGTTAGTGGTCAGTCACCCGCGCCTGCTCCTTCGCTGGCTCCGTGGGGGAGCGTCGGCCTGGGGACCGGATGCCGTGTGCGCACCTGTACGCAGAGGTGCCCCAGCACAACGTGATCACCCCACCACGTCCTGCCCTGCCCTCCCGCGTCCCCGCTCAGGACGAAGGCGCCGTCTCCCCAGGGAGCCGGGGGACGGAAGAGGGGAGACAGCACAGGGCGGCCCGGAGGCCCATGAACAGAATGACTGCCGAGCCGGGGCGGGGCGGGGGGCACAGACGGAGCTAAGGAGCGGCGCTTCCTTCCGGCCCCGCACCCGCCGGCCCGCCCTCCGCGGAGATGGGGTCCGGCGCGCCCTCCGCGGAGACGGGGTCCGGCGTGCTGGGCGTTCGCGGGGAGGGGGAGGCGGGCGCGTGGACGGCGGGCACTCTGAGGGCGGCACCCACCGGCAATGATCTCCCGCAGCTTGGGGTCCAGGTTCACGGTGCAGGGCAGAAAGGTCTTCACGTCGCGCGCCACCAGCACGGGCGTCCGCGAGGCCAGGAACACCTCGAAGTTCCTGACGTCCCCGTCGATCTCCAGCAGCGGCTCCACGTCCTTGGTCGTCGGGATGTTCTTTGAGATTCTTCAGCAGGAAAGAGACGAGAAAGGTCACTCACGTCCCCACCAGGAAGGCAAACTCCGCAGAAAACTAAGTCACGGTACACACTCTGCCGCCACGAAATCTTGTCAAAGGAAAAGCAGGCGGCACAGCTGCACGGCCGTCAGGACACCGGTGGGTCCGCGTGGCCTGCCTCTGCCAGCAACTCGTGGCCAGGACACAGGAAGGAAGGAGCGTGCAGCACACGCCCACGGAGCTGCTTGGGACAGCGATGGGCACAAGGCTCTCTGCTTTACTTGCTGGGATTCTGCAAAGGATTTCATTTGAAAGGTCTCCAGGGGGAACCACCGCCCGAGGCGGCCTCACTGCTGGCAAGTGCTCAGGCAGGAGCGAGTCGGATGCAAACAACACCCCCCAGGCCGGTGCCGGGGGCCAGTGAAGAGGCAGAGGCAAACGCTCCGAGCCCGCCTGGAGCAGGGCCCGCAGGACGAGGCAGAGCCGCCCTCACAGCGCCGCGAGGCTCACACCACGGTCAGACACCCCGACAACAGCTCTTAAGAGGCAAGACCCACTTCCACAGCGGCTTGGGTGGCGCCAACAGTGCCACAGGGGCTGCCAAGCGATGAGTGTTCACGATGCTGTGCCTTTAAGAAGTCTTGAGGAGCTTTACATGAATCGTTCAGAGAAAGCAGATGCTCTGCATACCACGCTGAGGAACTGGCAGAGAATGGGCACTGCCCTCAAAGTGTACCCAGGAATGTCTCAGACTAAAGCAAACCCTTCGTTCTCAGGCTGTCTTAAAGACCTAGTTTTACTAAGCACAGGACCCAAATCCTACAATGCTTAGGATTTAATATTTTTAAAAGTAAATAAATACAAATGTGTTAAGACCAATAAAAACCGCCGAAACCGGTTTGGCTCAGTGGTAGAGCGTCGGCCTGCGGACTGAAAGGTTCCAGGTTCGATTCCGGTCAAGGGCATGTACCTTGGTTGCGGGCACATCCCCAGTAGGGAGTGTGCAGGAGGCAGCTGATAGATGTTTCTCTCTCATCGATGTTTCTAACTCTCTTCCTCTCTGTAAAAAATCGATAAAATATATATTTTTAAAAGGACCAATAAAAACCTCCTCTCTTCATCTCCATCCTTTCCCAAATGCAAATGGAAAAGGGTTTTAGAAGAAAAGGCACAACTGAGCTTTACAACAATCGAGGGTCAGGCGACTATCCGTCAGCCTGCAAGCATGATTCTCAGGGCTCATCGGCGGCCTGCGGGGCCATCTTGAAAAGAACAAGAAACGGATATTGAACTTGAGAACTGGAAAGACTCATTCAACTCAGCGTTCCCTGGCCTTTGTGCAGTGAGGGAGAGCAAAGCGCAGGGCTTGGCTGTTTCTGGGGGAACACTGCCACCTTGTGGACCTTATGGATATTACTAACAGGCCCCTCAGCGGGTTTGACATCAGCACCTCACCTCACCTAGCCTCTCATTAGCTGTGTTTTTGTTGTAGTGACCTTTGTTAGCTCTCAGGTCGGGAACAATGTAAAAACACTTTTACTTGAGATGCTGAGATCACAGGCCTCCGCTGAAAAGCATCCGTTCAGGGGAAATCAGCCTCCACCTGATCTCTGAAGCATATTAATGTTTTGGTGAATTCTTCAATAATGAGATTTATTTTTATTTTATTTTTTTTTTAATATATTTTATTGATTTTGTACAGAGAGGAAGGAAGAGAGATATAGAGATAGAAACATCGATGAGAGAGAGTCATCAACCAGCTGCCTCTTGCACACCCCCTACTGGGGATATGCCCGCAACCAAGATACATGCCCTTGACTGGAATCGAATCTGGGACCCTTCAGTCCCCAAGCCGACGCTCTATCCATTGAGCCAAACCGGTTTCGGCAATAATGAGATTTATTTTTAAAATGTAAACATGCATAATACTCTTACAGTATTATAAGATAAACTATAAGTCTGCAAGGGTAATGACTTTTTACCCATTAAAATATATATGTTAGAGAAACTGATTTTGCTATTTCCGTTTTCAAACAGCCTTAGTTAATGCACTTGAGTTTCCCATGCTGGAGTTAGAAGCACACACTTTGGAGCATTTAAAACCCCTCCTTTGTTCTGCACTAGCATTAAATACTAAAAATGGCATGGTGACAAGTGTGAGTGAGAATGTATTTTAAAAATCGATTCTACCCTCGGAAGAGCAGAGGAAAGCGACTGAGAAGCGGCTGAGAAGTGGCCTAGGGAAGAACAGCAGCACGTGGCACCCATAAAGGTGGTGTCGAGGCTGGAGCAAGCAGACGCGCCAGCTGTTTCGGGGAGGCATCACAGCTGGGTTCCTACGGTCTCCATCCGAAGCTACTGCAGCCAAGGACACTTTCAGGATTTTGCAAAGAACAGGCCTTCTTCGTAAAAAGATGAAGGCGTCGACAAAGCAGGGGACTCTGGAAAGAAGCATCTGCACTATAAACACGTTAAGGGCAAGCGTGTTTTCGGAGAGAAGATGGAGCAGTAACCACACAGACAGCCATCTAACGAGCGCCGAGTGCCGACAACACCCACACCTACGGGCAGGCACGCTGCCCCGGAGGCAGACAGACACCGATGGCCTGCAGAAGCCGTGCGGGGAATGAGCATCTGTAGAGCCTAAACCACGGGGGAACCGTCAGTACAGGACATGCCTGGTGCCAAAAGCAGAGAACTTTTCACAAATCTAACATCTCACGCTGTTCCAGTTCACACTGTAAGTCCACATGCAGAGAAACAAACTGGTGCATAATCGGGGCCACAGCCGGGGCTGGGGGTCAGGTAACAATCGCCCGGAACACAAGGGAGCAGGAGGTGGTGAGTGAGTGAGTGAGAGCTGGAGGCGGGAGGTGCCGAGAAGCGACAGAGTTAAGCTTAGAACTCCGCTGAGCACCAGGCAGAAACACCATGATGCGATGTTCTGTTGTGAAAATATCTCCAAGTATGGAAACCGCACTGCTTAGATAATTTAAAACACCAAGCTCCCGACTGGCGTCGCTCAGCCTGAGCACCAAAGGGCTGCAGATTCCATTCCCGGCCCTGGTTGGGGGATGTGGGAGGCAACTGATTCTTTCTACCTACCTACCTACCTACCCACCTCTCTCTTCCCCCACTCTCCCTGTCCCTCCCTCCCTTCCACTCTTCCTGAAAAGTCAATGGAAAAAATATCCCCAGGTGAGGATTAACAAAAATATAAAACAAACAAATGAACAAATAAATAAAGATACTGGGTTTGATATAAAGGCTTCTATAATGTCTGTTCAATGAAATGAAAGATGGCTCCCGTCCCCAGGCTCTCTGGGAACGCATCTGACTGTGTTTAGAAATGAGTCTGCAGCATGCAAATTAAGGCTGGCATCATCCTTATCACAAAACTGTTCTGACCACAGCATCCTGCAGGACTTCTCAAGCAGTGTCAAAACAAAAATGTTAAACGTTATCTTCATGAAAACGCTTAACGTTGATCTTTTCAAAACCTCTATCAATGCTTTCTAGAAAATATGAGAAATAAAGTTTTATAGCTAAAATATTTCAGTGGCTGTCTAAAACATTATAATAAAAAGAAGACAGAAGATCTTAATCTACAGTTTTAATTTTACTCCCTTTCTTCTTACTAAATATATGTTAACAAAAAAACACCCCTCAAATGATCTAGACAAAAGCTTTTAGCTCAACACATAATTGCAAGGAAATTACAATAATTGTACCAATTAAAATAATCTTGAATGAACAGTATGTCATCTTAATGTTCCAATGGTTTATAGAGGGATCTACTTAATTAGCTGAAATTGCTTTTCAGTGTTATATCAAATGTCATTTGTTAAAAGTTGAACAATTTAGAAAATAATTTAACAAAGCAATTTTACCAAACACTAAGAGCCAACATTTTCTTTTTCAGAGAATAAAGCAAGCAGCTGTGTCATCAAATTGCTATAAAAGTAAATGAGGCTTTTTATAGATTAAAAAAATTTTACTACTAGCGTTAAAAACACTATTTTCTGATTGTTTTTACCAAGTCAGATTTCTTTAATAAAATAAATGAATATCAATTATATACTGCTGCTTTTTGTCTGCTGTAAATAAAACTTTTTCTTATTTAAAGGACAATGGCATCAAAGAACTCAACTCCAGCTAATTAGAAAGTCATCGATATTATTCTAACATATTCCAACATGATTTTTCAATATGTTGATCAAATTCTCTTCCCATAGTTTTTCATTCAAATCATCTTAAATTTAGTTCTTTTGAGTCAAGTTCTTCATGAATTCTCCAAGATATTTACTACATTGTATTTTCTCTTCCTTAAAGTATCTACAAATCATTATTAAGTATTAGTAGGTATATAAGACATCTATTTCTTTCTTTTTTTTAATATATATTATTGATTTTTTACAGAGAGGAAGAGAGAGGGATAGTTAGAAACATTGATCAGCTGCCTAATGCACACCCCTGACTGGGGATTTGCCCACAACCAAGATACATGCCCTTGATCGGAATCGAACCTGTGACCCTTCAGTCTGCAGGCCAACGCTCTATCCACTGAGCCACACTGGTTTTGGTGTGGACATCTATTTCTTAAAAGAAAAAAAAAAGGGGGGGGGCATTTCAAAATCACCCTGAACCCAACCCGTCCACAGGCGGCAAGCCCACCGCGGGCTGAGGGCTACAGGATAAGTAAGTGGCAAACAGTCTCCCCACCTCATTATGCCTCCAATATCAATATTCTCCATTTACTTGAACAAAATTCCCCTATAAAAATTCACTACATGTTTTCCTTGTAGAATAAAGATACTTCCTAAAAGCATTTCTTTGGCAAGTGTTCTTTTCACAGAATGAAAAAAGTACTATTCTCTTTGAATATAAATAATACATCTCTCTGTCCTAAAGACATATTTTAATTAAAAATGTCATTTTTGGGAAATGTCCTTGAACGTTAGGATGTCACAGAGCTTGACGTGCTCAGATGAAAATCAGGGTGGGAGCTTTCAGAGGGCAGGCAATCCTCCATCGGCAAGGACAGCAATTTCAGCGAAAGTTTTCTGTCCCTGAAAGAACCGGTAGCCTATCCTGACCACACGTCCTGATTGGCTGATCTGATCCCGACCACACGTCCTGATTGGCTGGCTGAGCCCCAAGTGGCTGCTTCCTCCAGTGGTTTCTGAAGTGCAAATGTGCTTTACCTCCTGGCAGAACACAAACTCCTGGATGCTCCATTGTGAGAACAGAGGATGCCTGTGTGACAGACCTCAAAGGGTCCACCTCAGGGCATCAGGTGCTGCTCACATCTGTCCCCCACCCCGCACCCCCTCCTGGGCCCCAAACACAGAAGGCGAAGCTCAGTAAGAGCTCACACTGAGCCCACACCAAGTGAAGAAAATGACTGAATGTAAAAGAACAGTAAGTTCCTTTATTACTTAACTAGAGGCCCGGTGCACAAAATTCATGCACTTGGGGGGGTTCCCTCAGCCTGGCCTGTGCCCTCTCGAAGTCCGGGAGCCCTCAGGCGATGTCTGACGGATGGCTTAGTGAGCCTAAGCTGACATCCTTAGCGCTGCCACGGAGATGGGAGAGGCTCCCACCACCGCCACTGTGCTCGCCAACAGTGAGCCCGGCTTCTGCTGAGCGGCCTCCCCCTGGGAGAGCACACTGACTGCCTGGGGGCAGCTCCTGCATTGAGTGTCTGCCCCCTGGTGGTCAGCGCACATCATAGTGACTGGTCATTCTACCATTCGGTCATCTGCATATTAGCCTTTTCTTATGTAGGACGCAAAGAATCTGCTCCCATCAGTATTCAGAGTTTCTAAAACCCTTCAGATATAAAGCTGAGAAACACTTGTATCAATGACTTGGAAAACGTCACTAGGAATAAAAAGTAAACTGGAAACAAATAACGTCTTAGGCACTGCATTTCATAGATATGAGTACGTAAAGCCACCAGGACTGTTAAGCACACGTTTCTCACATTCGGTGTCAGTGAAAAGGAAGCTATACATGACTGTGATGGGCATACACACGGTGTGAACACAGCTCCTGGAGTAAAGGAATCAGTGAGAATCGTCCACTGAATGTGGACGTGCGCATTTTATACAGAACTCCAGGACTTTGTATTCATTGTGCTCTCCGCCTTAGCTTGTTTCTGAAAAGTCAGCGCAATGTAAAGCCGAGTTAAACGTAGGGAGATTCCATACCTCTCGTAGATGGTCTTCAGGGTCATCTGGTCCGGAATGCCCTCCGTCTCCTCCAAGTACAGGATGAGCCAGGACGTGCGGTACGGCCACTGCTCAGTGAGGTTGATCCAGCTGGCCAGGCGGTCCCAGTTAAAGCTAATCTGATTGGCTCTCAGCAGCCGCCCTTCAAGGAGCACAAGAACATTTGTGAATTAATTGACATGTGATGTCATGCTAAGCAAAACACTGAGCATAGTCACAAATCACTTAACATCCCTAAATCTTTAAAATTTACCACTTACTATACACAACATATTCAAACTAACTAAATGTAAGTCTATATACTAATATGTATAAAAGCCTAAGCAACCATCTGACCGTCTGACCGGTAGCTATGATGTGCACTGACCACCAGGGGGCAGATGCTCAACGCAGACGCTGCAGAGCCTGCGGTGACTTGGCAGCTGCCATTCTCGGGTGATGCACCGGAACCAGAGAGAAGGGAGCCCGATTCCGGGGTGCATCACCCGAGAACTGCCTTCGTGCAATCTGGGACCCCTCGGGGGATGTTTCGGCCCAAACCCCGCAGGCCAGACCAAGGGCCTCTAGTGTGTGTACATATAAATATATACACATAGAGCCTCTGCAGTCCAAAGAGCTCCACGGGAAGCTCCTAGAATCACACAAATTGTTTAGCTGTACCGTGACTTCTGTGACGTCCCCCGGCGCCGCACTGACCCCCCCCCCGCAGCAGCAGCCTCTCAGAACCGCGTGAGACACGCACTGCTCCTGCAGCGGCCCATCCTCCTGCAGTGCCCAGAGCCTGCTGGCCCGGAGCACACAGCGTGCGGTCCTCTCGCTCTCCTAGGGGGAGTGCGCCCCCCTCACTGCTGGGCTGTGGTGCTGATGGGAATGCGGACCGGGTGGCTGTAACTGGCCACAGGACACGCTCTCCCCTAGCCCCGTCTGCTGGGTTCTCTGGGAGCCCCGCTCAGGACTGGGCCCGGGAGAGCTTACGGGGGCAGCCGCCATCCTCAAACTTCTAGCCCACGCCTTGTTCGCTGCCTCGTCATTTATCCCCGCTTTTGTGGGATTCAGAACCGCAGATATTTTTGCTTTTTAATTTTGAACATTATCCGTTTTACTTGATCGTTATCAGTTTATATCCAGTTGTTCCAGCTCAAGTGAATTCCCCCTTCCCCTGTAACTGCTATACAGGCTCCCCTCCCCCCGTTCTCCCTGCCTCACCCCCTCGGCCTCACCCCCGGCCGCCTGCCCAGCCACGCGCACTGCAGCACCGCGGCCGGGCTCCCCCTCCGCGGAAGGGTCTGCGCTGGGCCAGGGCCAGGCCTGCACCTCCCACCAGTTCAACGGGAGGTGAACTCAGAGGTTCCTTCCATTGTCACGTTTTGAAGTAACAGTGCACAGCTGACGGCTGGTTTTTGTTGTCAAACTCGCTTTGGTTTTCCTCCACACCCTAATGCACATAAAACCGGCCTCAGCAACGCTCACACCGGCTCGGTCCCCGGGAGGCAGGGAGAGGGGTCACCTGTCACGGAGACGATGTTGAGGAGCCTCCGCATGGTCTGAGGGCTGATGTCACTGAACCAGTCCTCCGTCACCAGCAGCTTCGTCAGGTCGAAGGACATCTGCCGGGTGACGGTGCGCTGCATCTGCCGCCGGCGGTACGTGTCCTGAGGAACGCAGCGGGCGGGAGGATGAGCTGCCGGAGTCGCTAACACAGGCTTCCGCTCAACAGCGACAAACCTCACCCTGCAGGCCGAGGGCGGGAGCGCACCAGCCGGAGCCACGGGCAGCCACGGCGGCTCAGGCCTTGGAGAGAACATGGCGGCGGCCCCAGGCCCTGGCGGCTGCGAGGGAAGGAGCTTCCTGCCTGAGCAGCCGAGCGAGCTCGGTGCCTCGGAGATGAGATCCCACGCGAGAACATTCCACCAAGGAGCGCGGGGCTTTCAGGGACTCGGAAATAACGAAGCCATAACTCCGTGCTGGGCTTCACGGGCTCCGCGTTTCCCAGGAGTCAGACCCTGCTCGTGACTTAGCCTCATCGCCTGTCACTCTTCACACTAATCAGCATCCACGTTTGCACAGGGTAGAGGCACAAAATGAGAATGTCAAAACGTCACTGAAGACATGTTTAAATGCCCAATATAATGGCAGCAAACGGAAAGCCAAACAAAACCTCACAGAACAGTGCCAGTCGGCGCCAGCCCAACCTCGCCAAGCTCAGCGCTCTGTGCCCAGCGGCCTGCAGTGCCTGCCCCTGCCCCACACGAGGAGTCTGGGGGTGGGCAGGACAGGGGCACCAGTGTGTCGGGAGGGAAGGTCTCCCTCCAGCTGTGGTGCCCCGGGCACCTGGACCGCCGAGGGCTCTGGTCTGGGTCTGGGCGGCGTGGGGCTGAGGACGGCTGGGAGGGACAGGGACTCCTGCGTCAGTCACTGAGCTGTAGGCAGACATGCCCTCAACGCCGCTGGCGGGAAGGCACCAGGGATAACGCAGTGGCGAGCTCGGTGCCCAGTTTACAGAAGGCGGTTCCGTGCCACCGGCTCAGTCTTGTTTGAGGAACAGAACAGCGCGGGCTCACAGAGACGCGTCTTACCCGTCTGTTGAGGGCTGTCTTGCTGCCAAGCTTGGCCATGTCTCCGAGGCTGATCTGGGAGACTCTTCTGTCAGCGTCCTCCTGTGTCCCTGAGGGAGTCCCCGAGAGCGCCGTCAGCAGGTGCTCCGCGCGGGACGCTGAGGGGGAGCGGCCGCCGCAGCCCTTGAGGTGAAGGTGGGCCGCACACAGGGCTGCACACACACAGGGCTGTGCACACTCAGGGCTGTGCACACTCAGGGCTGTGCACACTCAGGGCTGTGCACACTCAGGGCTGTGCACACACAGGGCTGCGCGCACACAGGGCTGCGCGCACACAGGGCTGCGCGCACTCAGGGCTGCGCGCACACAGGGCTGCGCGCACTCAGGGCTGCGCGCACTCAGGGCTGCGCGCACTCAGGGCTGCGCGCACACAGGGCTGCGCGCACACAGGGCTGCGCGCACACAGGGCTGCGCGCACACAGGGCTGCGCGCACTCAGGGCTGCGCGCACTCAGGGCTGCGCGCACACAGGGCTGCGCGCACTCAGGGCTGCGCGCACACAGGGCTGCGCGCACACAGGGCTGTGCACACTCAAGACTCCGCGCACTCAGGGCTGCGCGCACTCATGGCTGCGCGCACACAGGGCTCCGCACTCAGGGCTGCGCACACTCAGGGCTGCGCACACAGGGCTCCGCGCACACAGGGCTCCGCGCACACAGAGCTGCGCGCACACAGGGCTGCACGCACACAGGGCTGCGCACACACAGGGCTCCGCGCACACAGGACTGCACACTCACAGGACTCCGCACACAGGGCTGCGCGCACACAGGGCTGCGCGCACACAGGGCTCCGCGCACACAGGGCTCCGTGCACACAGGGCTGCGCACACTCAGGGCTGTGCACACTCAGGACTCCGTGCACTCAGGGCTGCGCACACTCAGGGCTGCGCGCACACAGGGCTCCGCACACACAGGACTGCACACACACAGGACTCCGCACACAGGGCTGCACGCACTCAGGGCTGCGCACACTCAGGGCTGCGCACACACAGGGCTGTGCACACTCAAGACTCCGCGCACTCAGGGCTGCGCGCACTCATGGCTGCGCGCACACAGGGCTCCGCACTCAGGGCTGCGCACACTCAGGGCTGCGCACACAGGGCTCCGCGCACACAGGGCTCCGCGCACACAGAGCTGCGCGCACACAGGGCTGCACGCACACAGGGCTGCGCACACACAGGGCTCCGCGCACACAGGACTGCACACTCACAGGACTCCGCACACAGGGCTGCGCGCACACAGGGCTGCGCGCACACAGGGCTCCGCGCACACAGGGCTCCGCGCACACAGGGCTGCGCACACTCAGGGCTGTGCACACTCAGGACTCCGTGCACTCAGGGCTGCGCACACTCAGGGCTGCGCGCACACAGGGCTCCGCGCACACAGGGCTGCGCACACTCAGGGCTGTGCACACTCAGGACTCCGTGCACTCAGGGCTGCGCACACTCAGGGCTGCACACACACAGGACTCCGCACACAGGGCTGCGCACACTCAGGACTCCGCACACAGGGCTCCGCACACACAGGACTGCACACACACAGGACTCCGCACACAGGGCTGCACGCACTCAGGACTCCGCGCACTCAGGGCTGCGCGCACCTGTGCTGTCGGGGCAGGGGATGTCCCCGTTGGTGGCGGTGACCAGGTACTTCTTGGCGCCGCTCAGGCCCCGGCTGTTGAGGAACACGGGCAGGTGCACGATGTTGCGCATGTAGTCATGGCCGTTGATGTTGGAGTCGCGCAGCACGCTGTTGAGGTTCTGGTTGATGGCCTTGATGATGATGTGCGGGTCGCTCGCAAAGATGGCGATGAAGGGCCCTTTGGAGAACAGCACCCGGACCTGCGGGAGGAGGAACGTGGACGCACAAACTAAGTCACCAGCCCACAGACAAGTGCTCCCTCTGGTGACTGGGTATTTCTTAAAACTGTTTTTCAGCCCCAGCCAGTGTGGCCCAGCGGATAGAGTGTCTGCCTGCAAACTGAGAGGTCCTGGGTTCGATTCCGGACAAGGGCACAGGCCTGGGTTGCAGCCCGATTCCCAGTAGGGAGGGTGTAGGATGCAGCCGATCAGTGATTCTCTCTCCTCACTGATGTTTCTCTCGATCCCTTATCACTCCCTTCTGAAATCGATAAAAAAATTTTAAAAACTGTTTTTTGTCCAAGCATTACTCTGTCTGAACACCGCTGCTACTGAAGTCTCCATCCGGTTTGCACCATCGGGCAGTGACGCCCCCGGGACGCTGTGGCCTGAGGCGAGGGGCTCAGCACGCGGGAGGCGCTCGGGAACACGCGAGAGGCACGGGCTCCGGTCTCAGCCGGCCCAGGCTGTGGCTCAGCACGCACCTCAGAGGCGCGGTGTGCGACTTCCACAAACACGGCGGACTGTGCGCTGCTCCTCTCAGCCCCACGTCTGCACACACGCTGCGCCCGCGGGACCACCAGCCCCCCACTCCCCCCTCACTCCGCCAGCACCTTCCCGCATCTACACCTGTCTACCAGCATGCACCCGCTGTTCCTGCACGACGACGGTTATTTCCATTTCAAACGCACCGTGTCCAGCATCTGCAGCACTTTGTCCTGCTCGCAGGCGTCCAGCCCGTCGATGATGACCACCAGCCGGGTCTGGTTCTGCGTGAAGCTGTCGATGGTCTTGGCCATCCTGGCCATCAGCTCCACCTCGCACTTGAGAACCTGCAGAGACAGACAGGCAGGTGCGCTGAGGGCGGTGCGTTCCGAGCGCCTCACAGAAGCCCCCGCGGAGGACACAGCGGCTCCCTCAGCCTCAGGCCCTGGCCCCGGAGCGAGGCCCCGCCCAGGAGGCCCGGACAGCCTGTGAGGAGGGATTGTCAGGCTGAGTGGCTGCTGCCCAGATCACGCTCCGCAGGCCTCGGAGTGAAAACCTCAGTGACCCGCCCAGCGGCTCCTGACGGGACATGCCCTCGGTGCCCGCTCCGCCGGCCCAGCTGCTGGCCCACAGGCCGAGGCCCGCGCCACGAGGAGGAGGGACACCGTGAAGGCACCCGTTCGCCCGCTCCTGTGGTTTCTAGTTACAAAGCCGCGCTCGTTACCACCAGGCCCTCCCCGGGGAAACCGGGGCGGGAGCCGGAGCCACACAGCGCGGGCCCGGGAGCGCACCCCGCGGCCCGAGGACAGGCCCGGCCGCACACGGCCGTCCCCCGCGCCCGCGCCCGGCCCCCACCGCCCGGCGCACCTTCATGAAGCCCTCGCTCTTCAGCTTGTGCAGCCGCGAGGCCGCACTGTGCAGCCGCTTCCGCTGCGAGTTGAGCAGCGAGTCCAGCACCTGCCACCAGGTGCGGCAGTTGAGCAGCAGGGCCAGCCCCACGACGGCGGCGATGGCGATGAGGACGGCGTTCACCGTCAGGTGCTTCGCGTCCACTCGGAAGATGGCCAGGAGCGTGACGCCCGCCACCACGCAGCCCAGCACGAACAGGAAGATGACGAAGGACGGGAGGCAGCACGTCTTCTTCCACTTCCTCTTACCTGCGAGACAGCGGCGGGCTGACGGCCTCACGCCGAGACCCGCACGCCCCGCCGGCACAGGGAGCCGGGGGCTCTGAGGGCGGCTTCCCGCTGCCTCCCTTCCCGGCCCCACGCAAGGCAGCGCCAGCAGCAGGAGGCAGCCTACCCTGCGAGTCCTCCGTCTTGAACACTCGGAAAAGCCTGGTCGCCAAGAAGCCAAACTCCCTCTCGCACGCGTCCGAGAGGGTGGCGATCATCTCCGCCATGGACGTCTCCCCGCCGACGCTGGACAGGCGGTTGTAGTCCGTGAACAGGAACCTGCGGGAAGAAGCCCGTCTCAGTCCCCAGACCCTGCGCGCTCGAGGCCTGGGTCAGGCCCTGACCGGTCCTCACGCCTCTCCCGGGCGGCTGTCTATGAATCCAAGGAGGGAAAGAACCAGAAACTCGGCGTCTCCCGCTCCCAGCACCTCACGCACTTCTCTGTGGAGACAATTCAAATGGAGCGCAGCCACGCTGCAGGGGCAGCTCTGACAGGAAGCAGAGGGGACGGGCTGGAGAGCCCAGCCAGGGCTGCCCGCACACGTGTGGCAGGTCTCCTGGGCAACGAGAAGGCGGCCCCACATCAGGATGCAGAGCTGCACTTCCAGAAGGCTCCTAAGCACCAACCGGGAGACCAGAGCCAGCGGAAACGTCGTCCCTGGGAATTTAATGCCATTGGAAACGCAGGCTTTACCATGTCTCACTTACAGCTAAACCTCGACCAGAGACTTAAAAACAAGCCATAACAGATTCCATCGGCGCTGCTCTGAGGAACGGGGGTTGCTGCGTGTTAATGCCTGGTGAGCAGCATGTGCACCCCCCGCCCCGCCCCGCCCCGCCCTCCCCCAGGAACGCTCCTCCCCCAGCAGACAAGCCCGCTGCGCGCCGCCTGGGCCCCCTCACCCACCGCGCCCTGCGCCCGCTGAGGCTGGGTGCGGTGACCTAACTTGTCAAAATAACACCCTCTGTTAGTTTAGAATGTTTTCTTTCCTGAAAAACATTTCCCCAGTTACTTCATTCTACTCTCCACGTTTCCTTTCCGACTTTTACATCCTTCCCTTGTACATAAACCGTGGCGTATGGCTCCCTTTCTCTCATGTCACAGCCGCGGTAGTTGGTGGCTTTGGCCTGTTTGTGTTCATCTACGACTGCACGTTGCTATCTCACAGTCACAGGGACTCCTTCCTCAGTGCTCACTGAGTGCTCCTGCTCATTTCCACTGATTCCTCCTGCTTCAGCCGTTTCCACTGCTTCCCTGCAGCCCCGCCCTGTGCCTGCGCCCCCGCCCGCCTGTGCCCCTCACCCTGCGCCCCCTCCCATCTATGCCCCCTCCCGCCTGCGCCCCCTCCCACCTGTTCTCACCCTCCTGCACTGTCTCCCCAGAGCTTCCCACCTGCCATTACTAACAACCAGACAGGCAGGGGGCACGTGCCCACAGGTGCGGACCGAGCAGCGGAGGGAGCAGAGCGAGCTGCCCGGGTCACAGCCAGCACAGGAGGCCCCGCGCCCGCCCGGGGCCACACCCTCTCCACGAGTGTCCCCCGGAGGGCAGGCGTCACGGGAGAATGGGCACACACATGAAGCCTGCCAAACCCAAGTTCAGCAGGCTTCCTCAGGGCAGGCGCTCTGACTGGGTGTGCAAAGGAGATGGACATGGCGTGTTCCCTGTCCCGGACCGGGGCAGGCGCTGGTCTCACTGCTCGTGGGAAAGTCCCAGGGCCCACGTTCCGGAAGCGAGCCGGGAGAGACGGCGCCTCGCCGTGCCCCGTCCGGGTCGCAGGGACTCACCGCACGGGCAGGGCCTTGGTGGTCTGCTCCGGCAGCTCGGGCGGGTTCACGAACATCAGCTTGAGGAGCAGCTCCAGGTAGCCGATGTGCCGGGCCAGCCTGGTGCTGAGCGCCCAGGCCCAGTTCCAGCTCTCGCCTTCCCTCCGGCCGCCGAAGTAAATGACGGTGAAGAAGATGTACAGCAGGGCCAGGCCGCTCAGCGCCACGGCCACGCCGAGGGTCAGGTCCACGGTGAAGGCGAACAGCAGGCCCAGGCCCCCGCACAGCAGCAGCGTCAGGAACACCACCAGCCACGAGAACTGGAAGAGCGGCTCGATCTGCTGCCCCGCGAACGTCTTCATCTCATCTGGAGGGGGGCAGACCGCGTTAGTCCCGCTTTAGGCACCAGCTCCTCGCTCCACATCTACACACCTACCAGCCCCTCTGCCTCCCGGGGGAGACGCACATCCCTGTCAGGCGCTTCCTCGGTCACGGTGTTGTCGTGTTTGTGTTTTGTGGTTTGTATTATACCAGCAACAACTGCTGTCTCCGGATGTGAATGGAAAACCACTCATACTCTGCTGTGTCTTCACAAGTAACACCTCATCCACTCCTCCCTGAACCCTCCTCAGCCCTCTCCTGCCAGCCACATTTGAGAGTCACAGTTCCTAAAGGTGTGCTGAGCCCAGGGGAGCGCAAATAACTCATTCTTCCTAGCAAGCTGCACAGGTGCCCGCACACAAAACTCTTCACAAAACTGACACGGCCCGCGAGAGCCTCGCCGTGCACGGACGGGAACACTGACCCTCCAGCTTCCTGAGCAGGAAGGACTTGCCGCTGCCCCACTGCGCGTACAGCCCCACGCAGATGGGCGGCTGCATGGTCGGCTCGCTGAGGATGTCCGCCAGCGCACTGCTGTACAGGTCGTAGCCCAGCATGTCGCCGTCCGTCTCCGTGGGCGACAGGTGTCCTGTAAGGATAAACACCAGGGCCTTACGTGAGAGAGATGTTAGAAGGAAGCATCACTTGGTATCTATCGTTTATTTAATCAGTAAAAACCCATTTTAAATGGTTAGACCTGTGTAAAGACAGGTTCCGATGCTCTTAAATTAATGCCACGTTTTATAGACCTCAGGATGCCTGCTGAGTGTAGGACGCAGCATGATCCTGTACAACCAGGAGAGGAAAAACGCTCCCACTTGTGGCGCAATGCGGAATTCCTGCCCCGACGCCGCCAGGCGCACCCAGTCTGAGATGCGGAGTGCGGAGCACGGTGCGCCCGGGACAAACGTGTGTGACAAACATGTGTGTGACAAACATGTGTGTGACAGCTGCACACGTCGAGCGGCTCCGCCCACCGGAGACACCCGGCCCCCGGACTGACAGGCATCAGCTCTCCCCAGGCTCACCCATCACTTTAAGGCACTTCTCATCAAAACCCAAGAGAATATTTTAAAAACAGAAAAGCAAAGACATGTGGAAGTAGGTAAGAAACAATGTTAAAGACTACGAAAAGCAGCTGTCCGTGAAGTTACCGTAATTAACACATCACAGAACCCGCCCAGGATGCTAACACAAACACTTTTCAAACCAGTGCCCCAATGCCGGCCGCAGGGACCACCCGCACTCACTGGCCCCGAAGATCTGTGTCAGGATGCTCTTCTGGTGGCTGCAGTCGATGTTGTAGGGCGTCTCGCCCGCCTTGTTGGGCCGGTAGAGCAGCCGGCCGTCCTTGGGGTTCCTCAGGAGCATCTCCGCCAGCTTCCGGCTCCTCCCGCGGATGGCGATGTGCAGGGGAGTGTCTCCTTTCTGCGGGGGAGCGGGAGGCGCCCAGAGGAACAGCCCTCACCTTCCAAAAACCACTGCCAAGGCCGCCTGCGCCCTGCCCAGACCCAGCGCGGGAACTTCCCGCTCTTGCCCCCACCCCCCAAAATGGTGTGTCCCCCTTCTCCTCCGCGGGGTCACGAGGAAAAGCAGCAGCTCCTCCTGCCCCCCCCCCCCCCGGACCTGCCTGTCTCCTCCGCGGGGGGAGGGGGTCACAAGGAAGCAGAGGCTCCTCCTGCCCCCCCACCCCCGCCCCGTACGGTCTGCCCCCCTTCTCCTCCGCCGCTGGGGTCACAAGCAAAGCAGCAGCTCCCCCCACCCCCCAAGGGACCACTCCCGCCCCAGGCGAGTAACCACCCCGCACCCGGCATTTCTGTCCACGGGTGCCAGCCGCTTCCTCAGCTAGTGTCCACTGCTTCACCCCTGCTCCTGTCTGTCTCCCCACACCCCTGCTGCCGCCCGTCCGCCATGAGCAGGGAGCACGGCGGCGAGGTGAGGGGAACCCCTCCCTCCGGGACGCCAGGCCGCCTTCTCCGAGACTTCCTCTCCGGGCCCTGGAGTCTGCCCCCACGGCCTCCTGGCCCGCAGCCTGGGGCCCGCCAGGAAGCTGTCCGCCTGGCATCACCCCCCCACCCCCCAGGTGCCTCACAGGCGATCTCTTCCGCACACGCCCACCAGCTGCCGCCCCCCAGCCCCCGCGCTCACCCTGTCCACGGCAGACACCTTGGCCCCCTTGTCCAGCAGCAGCTCCACCACCTCGATGTTCCGCATCTTGGTGGCCTTTATCAGCGGCGTCTCGCCGTCCTGCGGGCACAGAGGAAGGGGTCACCGGACAGCTCCCTCCTACGTGGGAAGGTCACATCACACATCTGTAGGAGCTCCGTCATGGGACTCCGGCAGCACTCTACATTAATGTTCCCCAGGAAACAGCCGTAAAAACCAGCACGTGCTCTGCCTGTCACAACCAGTCTTCCGTGTCAGGATAACCCGCTGTCACTCGGCCGCGTGTGCGATGGGCCCGTTACTGCCCGCACTGCGGCCGACTTTCCCTTCCTCCCCGAAGTCAGGGAAAATGTGTCAAAGAGAAGAACGGAGGTCAGGGACCTTCCGCCCTGGGCGGAGGGCGGCATCTCTGCCTCAGAAAGGTGCCGTCCGCCCGGAGACGAATGGCCGTGTCAATAAGAGTTCTCACATGTCACTCAGCTGAGGCGCTCCGTGCCACGGTCTCGCCTGGTGTGAGTGACAGCCCGCAGCGCCCGCTCTGGCAGCCATGCCCGCTCGCAGGGCCTCGGAGGACATGTGTGTGCCCCACACGCGGGCAGGAGCCAATTCTGGGGGACGACTGTCCCCGCTGACTCTGCGTTTTCTGGACGTATTTAACTAACGCCAGAAACACTGCGCCTTCCTGTGACACACAACCCGACGGGATCACAGCCCTCCTCAAAGCCGGGTGAGAGTCCCTGGTGACATCAGTGTCCTTCCAGCGTCAAGCACGCAGGCCTGACGGGCTGGCGGGGGCGGAGGCCGGCCTACCTTGGTGCATATTTCCGTGTCGGGATTGCACTGCAGGATGTCTCTCACCATGGTCGCGTTTCCTTTCTCCACAGCCCAGTACAGAGCAGTTTTATTGTCCTATGGATACAAAGTCAGTGATCGCTGATTGCGAGACACATGCTTTTCATGCTACTGCACACATGAGGAACCTTCCTGCCGGACAGCAGTGGGAGGCGCACCCACAGCGTGGCGGGAAGCATGGGACCCTCGCCGCCCCCCGCCCCCGCGGCCGCACGCACCTGCCCCCGGATGTCGATGTCGGCGTACTTCTGGAGCAGCGCGCGGACGATCTCCACGTGGCCGCCTCTGACGGCGCCGATCAGCACGGTGTCCCCGCTCTGCAGACAGGACCACGGGGGGTGAGGCGGCGGGCACGCTGAGGTTAGGTCAGCACGTACAGCACGCCGCCCCTGCAGAGGCCTCTCTCTGCGGGAGGGCTCGGAGGAACTGACGGCCACGCCCAGAGGGAGCCCCGGAGCAGGCGGCGGCTCAGGGGTGAGGCGGGAGGCCCCTCGCGTGCCGGCGCCGGCGCCTACCCTGTCGGGGATGTTCACGTAGGTGCCGGCGTCCAGCAGGTCCTGCACGATGTCCGTGTGGCCCTCCTTGGACGCGATCATCAGCGCGGTGTTCCCGTCCTTGTCCGTCAGGTTCACGTTGGGGTTCCTCTTCAAGATCTCCTTCACGGACTGGGTGTAGCCGCCTTTCACAGCCACGATGAGGGCGGTCATGGAGTTCTAAGCAGAAACCCGCCGAGAAGTGAGTGTCTCCCAGAAAACGTGATTCTGCCACAGGAACACACCCGTGTTTCCAGAAGGTGGCCTAACGGCTGTTTCTGACAACAAAGCGTCAACAGAAATAACCACGTGCCAGGAGGCGTGCTTCCTGCTTTGGGAAAAAGCTCGTCCTCCGAGCCCACAGGATCCCATTCAGTCAGCGCCCTCAGTGGGACCGGCCGCGGCCGTCCACCGTGAACACACTCTCCCACAGGCGATGGAGAGAGCACAGCTGGCAGGATGACCCACAGTGAAACACGTTCTAAACTAAATCATCCCAATAAGGCCTCTCCGACTTCAAACGAAGAACTGTTTATAACAAAATCTACGGGGGGAAAACTGACAACAAAGACTGAATAACTACAGACTATTTCTTTAAAAGTATATTCTTCCTTTTTACAGAGATCTAGAAAGCCCATTCTCAAAGACTCTGATTCTAGAGCACATGTGTCAAACACAAGGCCCGCGGGCCAAATCCGTCCCGCCAGGCCTTGCAGTGTGGCCCTCACAGCGCTGTCATCACTGCACTCCGCTGCATTTCCATCACAATGACAGTTTATGACTGTTCAGTAAACCATTCGGCCCGCGATTTAGGCTGGATTTTAGATTTTGGCCCCTTCTCTGATTTAGTTCGACACCCCTATTCTAGAGGTTCTAAAAAAAACTGCACATCTTGCCGAAACCGGTTTGGCTCAGTGGTAGAGTGTCGGTCTGAGGACTGAAAGGTCCCGGGTTCGATTCCGGTCAAGGGCATGTACCTTGGTTGTGGGCACATCCCCGATAGGGGGTGTGCAAGAGGCAGCTGGTCAATGTTTCTCTCTCATCGACATTTCTAGCTCTCTATCCCTCTCTCCTCCTCTCTGTAAAAAATCAATAAAATATATTAAAAACAAAAAACAAAAAGTTAAAAAAGAAAACAAAAAAAACAACAAAAACTGCACATCTAGTTTATAACAGGAAATCACCAACACACATTTTATGGGCATTAGCAGCAGATCCTTCAGAGCAAAACTCACAAAATATCTGTAATGTAACCTCTGATCAGCCTCACAGAAAGGACGCTGGTGCCGGAGCCGGTGTGGCTCAGTGGATAGAGCGTCGGCCTGCGGACTGAAGGGTCCCAGGTTCGATTCCGGGCAAGGGCATGTACCTTGGTTGCAGGCACATCTCCGGTAGGGGGTGTGCAAGAGGCAGCTGGTCGATGTTTCTCTCTCATCGACGTTTCTAGCTCTCTCTCTCTCTCCCTTCCTCTCTGTAAAAAATCAATAAGATATATTTAATAAGAAAAAATAAAAAAAAGGACGCTGGTTCTCTAAGAGTCAGGGAGGACGTAGGCTGTGTCTCGGGGGCTAAGAGGAAAAGACTCTGAAAACGGCAAACAGGCGTGAACGGCGGCGAGAACGGGGGGTACGCACCGCGCCTTCCTGGTCCACGTCGGCTCCCATGGCCAGCAGGTGCTTCACGCAGTCCAGGTGGCCCTTGCGCGCGGCCCAGACCAAAGGGGTGGTTCCGTACTGCAGGGCAGAGACAGGCCAACGTCATGGCGCGCTCAGGGAGCGAGCCTGCAGTGGGGTGAGCGTCAGACTGCAGTGTTCCTAGGTTACTGCGGACAGCATCGCAATTTTCATTGCAGCTAAACCATAACCCCCTTTATTTATCCAGGCTAGGGGATTAACCGCTGCGTGAAGTATCTTTAACCAGCTTTACCTTTTATAATGAGCGACTGAGTTTCCCATCATAGTCATACGCTCTGATTTCCCACAAGCCCCCACTGCTTCCACATCGTGTGAAGCACAGTTTAAAGTTCACAGTGTGCCTCCAGGGGAAACCGTATCAGGAAGTGCCAGACACGTTCTCCCGACCTCATGTGTAAGCCCGTGGGCTCGGGTCAGGTCATGCGAACAAGTGCAAGTGGCAATGTCGCGTTTCCCCGATCAGCAACGAGGCCCAGACGCAGTGGTGGGCTCCACGTCACCATTAATTAAAGCTATTAACTAGGAGGTGGAGTGGGACCCTGAACCGCAGCCTGGCTCAGTCCAGCTCTCACCCACGCCCCCATCCGCTCTGCCCCGGAAGGTAAGCTGCAGCCTCGGAGCGGCACTCACACCCTCTGGCTGGAACACGATGCAGAAGGCATCGGACATAACCCGGCAGGAGCCAGCCATGCTCTGCCTTGGGGAGCGCGGCGCCGGCCAGGCCAGGACCACCACAGGGACCTTCAGCTCCAGGAGCCCGCAGGCCGCACGAGCCTCTGACTGCGCCCGGGTGCTGTGCTGTGGAAACGCCCATCACTCTGCAGAGCCCACAGCAGCCGCCCGTCCCCTACGGTCCTGAGGCCTGAGCTGGGCAGGTGGGACTATTTCGTTTCACCTACTTTAGCCGATTTCAGTCTAGGCAGCTATGCGGCCGGTGGCCACTGAGCGGAGGTACCACTCGTGGTCACATCAGACACCCCAGGAACCACAGCTACAAGCGGCAGCCGGCCCTCCTTGGGGCAGGCTCTGACGGCAGCCCTGGCGCCATGCCCGTGGGGGGAGGAGCCTGCAGAGGGAGGGCGGGCAGTGGTCCAGGCCACCCATGGATGGAAGAGGAATAGTGAACTTCCTCAGTTCCAAATTCTTGGACATCTTCAGAGTGCTGCGACTGAGCACTCCTCCTCTGGCACTCCTCTCTTCCAGAGCGGCCTACCCCGGACCATCTGCTCCACACCCACCTCCTGCCCTCCCCCCAGCCCTCACCCACTCCGCAGGGCTCTCACTGCGCAGGGTTCCTGCATGTGGTGCTTGGACCGCCTCAGAAAGTCTCCCTTTTCCCAAAGCCTGGCCCTCTCCCCAGGAACCTAACGGCTCTGCGGGTACTGCGGGCCTCTTTCCCTTATTTCCTCTGGAAGCGTGCCCAGTGATCTCCTCCCGCGTCCGAGCAGCCTGAGACCGGGGAGCCCTGTGACTCACACCCGGAGGGACACCACATGGGCAGCCCGAGGGGCGGCTGACCTACCTTGTCGGAGCAGTTGACCTTGGCGCCGTTCTGCAGCAGCAGCTGCACTATGTCCGCGTGGCCTCTGCCCGCTGCCCAGATGATGGGGTAGACGCTGTACTGTTGGCGGAAGGTGGGTGGGCAGGGGGGAGACAGAGGGGGCGGGGGGAATGGCAGGGAGAGAGGAAAAGAAAACCTTTAGGCAGATGTGACAACACACGTTTGCTAAGAAAAGTAAATAATAAATGGATAATATGAAGTAATATTTTTAAAATCAGGTTTCAGACCATTCTCTGCTTTAAAAACACACAGCACTCTAACATAATTGGCACTAAGACGCAGCCCGCCTTAAATAAATATATGCCCTGAGCGCACTTATTCTGTTTCGGCACATTTAACGGATTATCTGGCCAACAGGCATGTGCAACTTTTCTTACGTAATCCTTCCACTAACTTGAATAAAAGTTCTTTGTTTCAACTTTATTGAGGCAAAGGGGACAAAACTGGGAGCGAGTTAAGTGTACACTATTTGATATACCATCAATAAAAGTTTAATCTGCAATCTGAGATCAAGTCACACACAAAGTAGTAACGAATATATCGCATCTGTAAGACACAGAAAAATGTCTTTTTTCTTTAAAAAAAAAAACGTAGATCGAGATCCAGGCCCACAGAACACAGGCAGGAGGGCTCAGGCATTTCGGGACTCCTTCCCATGTCAGATGGCTGTCATTCACATGGAAGTTCAATGTTGATACAAAGTAAGCCACAGCTGAGCTTGGGAATGAACTTCTCATGAGCTCGAGTTCCCCTCTTCTGCTTCTCTTTAGCAGACCCGGATCACTCTGCCGCCCTGCAGCCCAGTCACTCAGCGTCCGCTGCCCTCCGGCACCCTCCCGGCCGGCAGACGCGGTGCGCTTGCTTACCAGGCCGGTGACGTTCGGGTTGGCTCCGTGCGAGAGCAGCAGCTCCACCACGTCAGTCCGGCCCTTGTAACAGGCCCACATCAGCGCCGTCCATCCGCCCTGGAGAGAGGAGGAGGGGCACGATGCTGGGTGGTCTCCAGCACAGCAAGGACAGGAATTACAGAGCTGGATTCAGGCAAGTCTCACATCGCCAATCTTTAATCTCTAAAATGCCTGCCCACATTGTTTTAATTCCATGCCCACTTTAATTTATACGATGTCATCCTATGCAAGACTACGAGATAAAAATTTTATCTGGAGAAAACCATGTCCAAGTTTGCAAAGTGAAAAGTCTGGAACCGACCGCCTTCAGCACAAGTTGTGGGAGGGCAGCCACTGAAGGTCTCTCAGGAAAGAACCCCATGGACTTCCTGACATCATACGCTGACGGTCCCACCCCAGGGAGCTCCTCTCCTACCAAGTCCAGGACCACGCCTTCCCTCGAAGCTCGGCGGCTACTGCCACCCCCCCTCCCCGGGCCCCCCCGATACTGAGGGAGACACGGTCCTGTTCCCCGATCTCTGTGTAAAGGTTTACAGAGACCTTTGCACGTTGAAAGGCGTGGTGATCATTACTCGGGGGAATGAGAAGCATGGAGAACCTGAGGGCTTGGGAGACCATCTGTTACAGTCTGACTGAACTCTGCACGCTCATGGTGTGTCCGCGCTCTTCCTGACTCCCTTGCAGACGTGGGTTCCAAACTCAGCCTGCCTGCTCATCGCTGAGGGCCTGGGCCCAGGGCGCGCCCTCGGGCTCATTCCCCAGCCCCGGGCACTGCTCACAGGAACCCTCTAGAACGCAGCAGGGAGGGCGAGGTGGGAGGCTGCAGATTCTTAAAAGCTCAGACCACCTGCACCGAAGCAGCACGGCAAACACCACGCTTTCTTTATGAGGGCAGAGCGGCTCCCTTCGCTCCTCTAGTATCACGGTGAACTTCCCAAAAGACCAAAAATTCTGCAGAAATAAGCCAACCCTTTCTTAACCCTTATGCTTTAAGCAGATGCCAAGATCAAATAAGAGCTAAGATAATTAAGATTCACATCTTATTGAGCTTATAATGTATAGATGGCATGTCCGAACACAATTACACTTTAAATTAAGTTTATAAACGTAATTCTGAAAATTATGACTAAACAACTGAAAACATTTTTAAAACGTACTATGTCCCTCTTAAAACTCCTCTTAAGGGAAAAATTCTCTCCCAAGTTCTAAAACCCTGACATACTAAACGGCAGTGAGTATTTTTAACAATATTTCTGAATTTTAACCTCTACCATGAACTGGAGATGGTGACAGAGGACATCTAAGAGAGGTGGATTTAACACCACCCGGGCTTAAACATTCTGAGGTCCCTCCAGTGACAGCCTCAGACAGCTGAGCCACCCGCCAGCGCTCTCCCACGGGTCCGTCACGGGGAACGGTCCGTCACAGGGGCCGCGCCCACCATGTCGCGGTGCTCCAGGTTCGCCCCGCACTTCAGCAGCTCGTCCACGACGTGCAGGTGCCCTTCCTTGGCGGCCGATATGAGCGCCGTCCAGTTGTCCTGGAACACAAGACACGTTTCCCGCTTCAAACCCAAGTGGCACTCAAAACGCGGACAAAACGAGGCCCCGGAGAGGTGGCTGCGCATCAGCACAGGGTCACGCCAGGCGCCGTGTACCACGGACTCTGACGCGGCTCTGAGGGCCCAGCGGGGAGGGGGGAGGGAGTGTCCGTCTGCCTGTACCACCGCAGCGTGCAGAACGGCTCCACAACTGCTGGCTCAGTCTTTTCCCCAGACGTCTAATCACACCCTGGCTTTCTAAGGAGAGGAGATGCCTAGCAAAACCTCAGCTACTCCTGTGGCTACCAGCCGTCGCTCTGAAGGCAATTAAAGACCGTGAAGAGGCTTAAGGTCACGCTCGCAGACGGGCAAACTAAAGCGATCCATGATGAGTTTAGAAACCGTGCGATAAAGAAATCACTATTCTCCTTTACTTTTTAAGGAAAGGCTATAAGTATCCTATCCTAACTTTTATTAATGTGTGTAATTTAACTCAAATGGCCAATAAAAATCATCAACTGAAAATAATCTATTAAAAAAAACCCACACAGATGTAATCCTAGCCAGTTTTTCTCAGTGGATAGAGCATCAGCCTGCGACTGAAGGGTCCCAGGTTTGATTCTGGCCAAGGCATATGTCTAGGATGTGGCTCGACCCCCGGCAGGAGGCAGCCGATCAATGATTCTCTCTCATCATTGATGTTTCTATCTTTCCCTCTCCCTTCTTCTCTGAAATCAATAAAAATATAAAATAAAATAAACAGATGTAGGTACGTAACCCTAAAAAAATAATTCCTGGGAAACAGCAAGAGAAAGGAGAGCCTCTGGAACAGTGATCACCCCCAGAAGTGGGGTCAGAAGGCTCTGCATCTCCAGCTGGAATCATGTCATGACGTTTATAACAGCAGCTAGTGCTAGGAGAAATAACTGATAATGACTCACACGTGGCTACTTCTCAGGCAGGCGTTTGATTTCATGTGTGTGTGCTCCCTATTCACAGTGCCTTCTACATATGACAACACGGAGAGCTGAGAACTTGCATTCAAAGTAAAAATTTCTCTCCCTTTTTAAAAAATTAACAGCGATTAGGCGAAGTTGCTATGTAACAGACAGTGTAATTGGTCACCTATTAGTCTGGAATCATTTCACCCAGCAAACAGCCAGCTAAGGAAAAGAGAGACGCCCGTGCATGCACGCGTGCGGTAGGTACCAGGTCTTCCAGGTTGCAGTTGGCTCCATTCTTGATCAGCTCCTTCACGATCTCCAGGTTGCCCTGCTCGGCAGCGATCATCAGCGGGGTCTGGCCGCACTGGGGACAGAGAGGACACGCGCTGGTGGAGGCTGTGAAGGGCCGAGAGGCCTGAGCACATGCTCTCCTTCCACAGCGAGACGCCAGCTCTGTGAACAGGGTGTCTGTAACTCACAAACACCTTGGAAGTCTTAAGTTTTCCATTTACTGACGATGTGAAAATCAGAGAGAGGACAAAGCTTTTCTTTACCACAGCATGACTAGCCTGTTAGCAGTCCTGCAATGTCACTCAGAATCTGTAAATATGGTTAGTGCTAGCCTCTGAAAGTAACTGCCACAATGTCACAAAAATCTCAGGGCATCAATGAACCAAACTCTAACACTGAGTTACATTATGATACACAACGTGGCTCTAATAACACGTTAGGTGTACTGTCAGGACTAAAGGGAGAAAGGCTCACACATACACACACACATGTATATGTGAAAACTACAATAACTTTGATCTTATCCACTGGCAAAAAAAAAAAAAAAATTATGCTACATGGAAAATACAGTTTTAGACGCAGAATTATTTTTATTACTATGTTTTATAAAACGAGTACATACTTGGCCATTAAGAATTCATACAGAAAGTCTATGGGCCCATAAAGTGTTGCAGCTGTTCATGATGAGCTAAGATCAACACTATTTATATTCCCCAGTCTACTGTTGACTAGAAATATCTACTATACATCAATGAAATGGTAAGTGTATACTTCCCTGTCTTCTTAAATATTATAGAACTTAACTCTCTCTTAATGGTACAGGGCCTTTAAAATCCCAAGGCGTATGGCATGGACAACTCAGAAAGGTAACTGGGGCTCCATTTCAGAGTCCTAATTCTGTTTGGCTCATCTATTTATAGAAGCTTTCTGAAGCGTCCTAGAAGCCCTTCAGATTTCAGATTTCAGACTTCCTGAATATTGATTATTCCGTCTGCAAAAAAAGGCAATCATAAATCTAAATTCAATGCACAATAATGTTAGCACCACGCTCTAACCAACTGAGCTAACCGGCCAACTGACATCAATGCACAATAATGTATGTAAGTTCAAATGCATTCCAAAAACATGGGGTTGGAAGTACGTTAACTACCAGAAATGGTCATTATTTGAAGTCAGTGTCACCGAGGGAGGAACCATCTTGCTTCCTAGCACGCCTTGACGGGCACACGGCCTGCACACGGGCACACGGCCTGCACACGGGCATCCGCGGCCTCACCTCGTTTCTCTCGTCCACGTCTTTGCATTTCTCCAGAAGAGCTTTCAAGGCGGGGATGTTTTCCTCCTCCACGTAATTGATCACACTCTGCGATATCAGAACCGACATGTTGGCAGGAAGTGTGGTGTCTATCCCAGTACCTGTGTGAGCAGACAGATACACACACAGAACCTGTGATCAGAAAAACAGCGCCTCGGCTTGTGCAGATCCCCTCCACGGCAGGACGGACGGACGGACGGACGGACGGCAGAGCGCCCGCTCAGCTGGCGAAATGCCCGCCCCGGCTTTCCAAGGCTCACGCTCCCCTCAATCCAACTCAACCCCCCCCCCCCCCCCCCGGCTCCCAACTCCAGACCCACCCGTCTTCCCGGTGAAGGAAGCGCTCCCCGGCTCCCCTGCCGTCCTCCCGCCTCAGTCCAGGCAGCTCCAGCTCCTTCTTCCAGGCCCGGGCCTGCCTAGGTCTCCCTCAGCCTCTCCGCTGCGCCCCTCCCCGAGCACACCCTCCTGGTCCCACCGAGCACAGATCTCAGGCCCGATGGCTCCTCGCCACCATCCCCACCCCTGGGCCAGCAGCCGTGACCTGCGCCCACGTCGCCTCCCCACAGCCACCCACAGGACCCGGGCCCGGAGCAGCACGGCTGCGCCAGAAGCACCTGCAGGCCGTGTGCCGCAGCGGCCTGCCGTCGCTCAGAGCCGGCACAGGTCTGGGGTCTGTGACCAGCGGAGCCAGCTCCCTGCCGTGCTGAGCGGAGCCGCTGCTGAAGAGCCACCTGAGCCGCGCTGAGCCCGACGACCCCCTCGGTGCTCCCAGCCCTCCAGCGGCCCCTCAGAGCAACAAGGCGGCCCTGCCCGTTGCCTTCGGCCTGCGTGGCCTGGAGCTCCACTCTGACCTCGTCTCCTCCCCCCTCGCCATCTCACCTCGTGGGCGGACAGCACTGCCCAGACCCACACGGCCGCCCCCCAGCCTCACTCCCCTCACCAGAACCGGCTGCCCATGCCCGGTAAAACAGGGACCTCACACTTACTGCACAGCGGTCCCGGCCCCCCACCCGCCCGACTCTGTTCTCCGTGGCACTTGCCACCATCACCACACAACAGGGTGCGTTTACTGCCACTCAGCACGACCAGAACACAAGCTCCAAAGTGCAGGAACTTCCTTTTATTCAACCGGACTCTCAAAGGCGAATAAACAAACAAACCGCAGCTCATTCGTGCCTTACACCAAAGACACACACTAATGCAAAGTGGGCCTACATGTCACACCAAAAGCACAAAACGTCCAGGAGAAAACAGGCTATTGTGGATTAAGCAAAGATTTTTTTTCGATATAACACTAAAGCGTGTTTTATTAAAAAAAGAAAATTGAGAAATCAGAGCTCACCAAAATGAAAGCGTTTGCTCTGCTCAGAGAAGAAACCTGTTCGGGACTGGGGACAACCGTCCCGCTCGGACAGGGCTCTGCGCCGGCTCCCAGCCCACCGCACTGCGCCTCGAGGTCACAGGTCACAGGTGGGCAGGAAGCGGCCACGGGACGGACTGCACACCCAGAGCCTCACCCCGCCTGAGGTAGGGGGTGGGAACGGAACGTTTAAGCTGAAGATGAGGCTTTGGACGCGGAGTTGAGCCTGCAGTGCGCTGAGACTTTGGGGGCCTTGGGATGGGGAGAATGTGGGGTGCGTGTGGGATGGAAGCCTCTCTCTGGGGCCAGAGACAGGAGGTCCTGCACTGCATGATTCCATTTCCATGACATTCTAGAAAGGGAACACGAGACAGACAAAACCGGATCCGAAGTGGTCGGCTTAAAGGGGCGAGGGGATGACTACCATGGGGTCTAGGAGAATCCGGGGAGCAGACTGTCGGGTGTCCTCACTGTGGTGGTAATCACACCACTATATGGCTTTGCCAAAATTCAAAGCTTGACACTAAAACGTGAATTATAGTCTATGTAAATTATACCTGAGTGATACCTTACTTTTAAATAATCATCAATAAAGGTTATGTTACTTGATCCAGTAACTTTAAGAATCAATTCTAGAAACACAGACACATGGAGAAAGATTTTAAATACATCACAATTTTAGTCGTGAGTACAAAAATCTTAGAGATGGGGATTCCATAAATTATGATATATCCGCACAGTGGAAAAAATACAGTCATCAAAATGGTCCCAAAGTATGTCCTGACAGAAAAATGCTTGTGATACATTAACTAGGAGAAAAAATTAACTAAGAAAACTATCTATACAGCATCTCAATTATATAGATTTACATTTTTAAAAATTATTTTTAAATACAGAAATGACATCAATGTCAGTGTTACTTTCTTTAGGACCTTTAATTCCTAATCTCCTAGTTGGAAGCCAGTAAGAGACTTTGTTAACAGTCATCACCACATCCAGGCCTCCATTTACTCCCATTCTTACAGGATCACATCTAACGCCTGTCAGGCTCCCAGGCCTGGCTCTCCCTCCCTCTCCCTTTTACCAGCGCCCACCCCCCCAAGCCTGCCAGGCTGACGCTCCAGCGGCCCCTCGGCCCGGCTGCACCCCTGCTCGCGTGGCAGGCCACGCCCTCACTCTGCACACGGCGCTCACACCGCTCCACGCAGCACCTCCTCTCAGGGCCCAGCAGGTGCCATTTCTCTGCCATTGGCCTCCTGTGTCCGCCATCAGCCATCCACCCCTCAGCGCCAGCCTTCCATCTGCACTTAACTAGCACTCCTGGCCGTGCCAGGCGCAGACTTCAGCAAGCAGGCACTGGCTCCCTTCCCCTCACCACGCCGTGGGAAAGGCGGGCGCCCAGACTGCACGTGTCCGCAGAATTCTCCCTCTATCGGCCGAACCCCCTTCGTACAGACCAGCGCCTACACAAGCGGGGATATGGCTGCAGCAGCTGCCCAGCCCGAGTCCATCGCTCTCTACAACCAGAGGGAGTGAGGATTTGTCCCCAACTCCACCTCCCAGAAAAGGTCTGGCTACTCAGATGGGGTCAGGTGCCAGCCCGCAACCAATCCACCACAGTCCCACGGTCACACGGTCCCGGCCAGGGTCACAGTCACCGTCACACAGTCACACAGTCACAGTCAGTCATGGCTACGGCCACAGTCACACAGTCACAATCACGGTAACGGTCATGGCCACAGTCACACAATCACAGTCAGTCACGGCCACAGCCAGTCAGTCACACAGTCAGTCACACAGTCACAGTCACACAGTCACAGTCACGGCCACAGGCTGGGAGGCATCACAGGTCACATGGTGCGGGCACTGCTTCCAGCAAAGCGGAGACTGTTGTGGTCGAGGCGCCTGTCCTGCAACGCCTGTCACCTGAGTCAGCATGAGTCCCCCCCCGCGTCCCCTCTCCCGTCCTTCCCTCCAGTCCAGTGCCACACTGAGCCTGAGGAGTGGAAAACCCTTCCATCAGCCCGTTATTCCCGCCGGGAGCAGAGACCGTGGCTGTGCTCTCACAGTGCCTCTCGGACCCGAACCCCTGAGGCCTCCAAAGCGCCGTAAAGAGGCGGCGCCGCGGTTCTAGGGCGGGCTTCGCTCTGCGCAGAGCGGTGAGGGTCTTGATGACGGTGGGAGGGATGCAGGTCCTTCCCAGTCTGGCCCCTCACCTTCCCTCCACCTCCTCTCCCCTCCACCCAAACCCGCTTCCCCACGCTCAGCCACACACCCGCTCCAGCCACACCCATCTCCCCGCGCCTGCTCGCTCCAGGCCTTTGCTTATGCCCCGCCTCCTCCAGAGCCCACCCAGTGCAGCCTGGACAGCAGGCCCCAGGCCGCCCCCCTCCCGGAGCCTGCTTGGCCCCACTCACGCCACACAAGGCAGGGACGCTCCAGGCTGCCCACACCTCAGCTCACCCCACCCCACCCTCCATCCTCCTCACCCACTCCCCTCCGCCACAGCTTTGAGGGAGGGCCGCCTCGCCCCTGGCATCGGGGTGCCTGCCTACAGCGGCCCTCGCGGGGACGGCCCGCCCTGCGGGAACATGACCTCCCAGGACACCAGCACCAGAGGCGGCGGCTCTGACCGCCATGCGGGACAAAAGCCGCTTGGAAACCAGGTCTGAGCGGACAGAAGCAGGGCCCTGGCCCACCTTCCGGCAATGCTCTCTCTTCCAAAGCACAGAGCCAGGCCGAGCCAGGCCCAGAGCCAGGCCCCGGCCCAGCCGCCGCCCGCCGGGGTCTCACTGCGAGCTCCCTGCCTGCTGTTCTGTCACCCGGGGCTGGATTCTTGGCCGCGGGGTCCGGGGATCCCCATCTTTAAATAACGGCACAGTTCAGTGATGAAAGGGGCTGACGCTGTGCCTGGCACATGTGCAGACGGGCACGGTCATCTACTGCCCACAGCACTGGTTCCTCCCCTGTCCCCGGACTGCGGTCCAGGACCCCGCACAGGCCTTTCCGTTCCCTCCCGCGCCGCCCTGCCCCCGTCATCGGCCTGGTCCCCGCGGCCCGGTCCCGCCCCCCTGGCCGTCAGCGGCCCGGTCTTTGTTTCAGACCCAGCGCCGGGCCGAGAACAAAGGGCGCACCGGCCTCTGCTCGCCGGCCGCCCGGCGGCGCCTCAGACACAGCCCGGCCTCCGCCCGGGCGGGAGCGGGCACAGCCCCGGCCTCCGCCCGGGCGGGAGCGGGCACAGCCCCGGCCTCCGCCCCGGCCTCCAGCGGACACAGCCCGGCCTCCGCCCCGGCGGGAGCGGACACAGCCCGGCCTCCGCCCCGGGCGGGAGCGGGCACAGCCCCGGCCTCCGCCCCGGCCTCCAGCGGACACAGCCCGGCCTCCGCCCCGGCCTCCAGCGGACACAGCCCGGCCTCCGCCCCGGCCTCCAGCGGACACAGCCCGGCCTCCGCCCCGGGCGGGAGCGGACACAGCCCGGCCTCCGCCCCGGGCGGGAGCGGACGGAGGGACCGGCCTCCGGGTGAGGGCGCGGCCTGGCCACCCCGGGCGCGGGGGGCGCGGGGCCGGCGGGCGGGCGGGCGGCACCGGAGCCGGCGCCCCTGGCGGCCGCGGGGAGGGCTGCAGGGCGCCCGGGGCCCGGGGCGTTCCGAGGCGGTTCCGAGGCGGTTCCGAGGCGGTTCGGCGGGCCTGGGTCCGGGGGCCTGGGCTCGGAGGGCCCGGGGGTGGGGGGTGACAGCGCCGCCGGCAGGAACCCCGACTCCGTCCCCAGGAACAAGCGGCGCCGCGTCCGAACCGACCGCCCGAACCGACCGCCCGGCTCCCCGCGGCCCCTCCCCGCCCAGCCCGCCGCTCGCCCCGCACCGAGGCCGCCCGCCCGCCCGCCTCACTGACCGAATGGCCGCCGGCCCAGCGGCTCCGGGGGGCAGCCCGGGAAGGCAGCCCGCGGCGCGGTCAGCAGACGGGAGACGGCGGGAGCGCGGCGCCCTTCACACGCCCGGCGGCCATTGCCCGTCCGCCCGAACTGACAGCTCACGTGACCGCGGGGCGGGGCTTCCGGTGGCCACGCCCCGGGCGGGCGGAGGGCGCGGCAGTGCGCGTGCGCGAGAGCCAGCTGCTGGGCGCCTGGGCGTGTCCTGGCCCCGCCGCCCTCGCCCCTTCCTCTGGCCTCGGAATAGCTGTGGCTTTTTTTTTATATGAAATATATTTTATTCGCCCCTTCCTCTGGCCTCGGAATAGCTGAGACTTTTTTTATATAAAATATATTTTATTCGCCCCTTCCTCTGGCCTCGGAATAGCTGAGACTTTTTTTTTTTAATAAAATATATTTTATTGATTTTTTACAAAGAGGAAGGGAGAGGGATAGGGAGCTAGAAACGTTATTGATGAGAGAGAAACATCAACCAGCTGCCTCTTGCACACCCCCCATGGGGGATGTGCCCACAACCAAGGTACATGCCCTTGACCGGAATCGAACCTGGGACCTTTCAGTCCGCAGACCGACGCTCTACCACTGAGCCACACCGGTTTTGGCTAGCTGTGGCCTTTTAAAAATATATTTTTTATTGATTTTTTTACAGAGAGGAAAGGAGAGGGAGAGAGAGTTAGAAACATGGATCAGCTGCCCCTTGCACACCTCCCACTGGGGATGTGCCAGAAACCAAGGTCCATGCCCTTGACCTGGATCGAACCTGGGACCTTTCAGTCCGCGGGCCGATGCTCTGTCCACTGAGCCACACCGGTCAGGGCAATAGCTGTGTTTTGACAAGATTCTCCCCACGGTCAATGCCTGTCTTCTTGCTATGTTTTGGTTTTTTTCTTGCTATGGTTAATTTACTGTTTTTTAAAAATATTTTAATTGATTTCAGAGAGGAAGGGAGAGGGAGGGACAGAGATAGAAACATCGATGATGAGAGAGGCCCCTGCACTGGGTAGTCCAACAAGGTCGGCACTCAACCACTGAGCCACCCTGGCTGGGTGCTATGGTTCACTTATCATTCAGCATCACCCTCGCAGCTGATGCAGAGCCCTCACCTGCAACGGTCACTTCGCAAAATACTGCAAAGGCAGGCCAGCTCTAGCCCCTTCCTCGGAACCCCGAAGCGAGGTCTCTGCCTTCCCCCACACAGGTGGGAGCCCCACCCCTGGTCCTGAGGGCCCACCCGCTCCCCCACTCCCTCACTCCCCCCTCCCCCCTTCGAAGCTCCCCAGGTCTGGCTCCCACCCCATCTCTGCAGAGCGGACCTCTGACTCGCCCCATCGCAGGGCTCTGCTCCTCTCCATCCTCTTCCGAGTTCTGTCCCCTCACCTGGCACACCTGCCATTCACTGGTTCTCTCTCCTCATTGATGCTTCTCTCTCTCCCCTCTCCCTTCCTCTCCAAATCCTCTCTCATCACTGATGCTTCTCTCTTTCTCCCTCTCCCTTCCTCTCTGAAATTAATAAAAATATGTGTTTTTTAAAGTTACGTTTAGTGAGTGGGATCTGTTTTTGATGGTAAAGAGTTCCTAACTCACACCAAATGCTATTCCTTCCGTCCTTTCGGACGCCCAGGCTCCTGTCCTGCGATGATGTAAACGCTTTCTCCTGGTTCGGACTCGGATGCGTCTCCCCGCACCTGCGCCTGTCCGTCCGTCTGCAGTCCGGGCAGCTGGCCTAAGCTTTCCTGGTGAACGCACCTAAGGGTGTCTCCAGCAGAACCACCGAAGTCACCTCGCGAGCGTGGCTCTTACACGTGCTGCGCGGTGGTGAGTGGACGGAAAACTATGAGTTATCCTCCCAGTGCGCACCACACACCATCAAGACGGCCATTTAATCGCCCACTCACCGCTTCCAGCGGCTCCAGCCTGATGTGGGGTGGGGGAGGGGGAAGTGGAGCAGGGGGGTGATGTCAGCAAGCCAGTCTGTTTATCTGGATTCCTTGTCATTGCCTATACATTTCCCGTAGAAACCTTAAGATGATTTGAACACTATTTAGCTTTAAAAAATGTTTTTCCTCTGCGTACAGAGGGCACACGTGTTCATTGTAAAGTACACATGCAGAGTCCCTGGGGAATTCAGAGATGTCTCTCTTACTCTCACCGCTCAGAGTCCCCTGGCTTCTTAAACCGACACTTGAAACAAAAATTGTATTAACCGGCCCAGTCGGTGTGGCCCAGGGGCTGAGCGTTGACCTGTGAACCAGGACACCCTGGTTCGATTCCCGGTCCGGGCACAAGCCCGGGTTGTGGGCTTCATCCCCGGGGCGAGATGTACAGGAGGCAGCCGGCAGGTCGATGATTCCCTCTCCTCATGGATGTTTCTCTCTCTCCCTCTCCCCTCCTCTCTGAAATCAATAAACATATATTTTTTTAAATGTTATTAACCAAAGTCCTTATTGAAGGGGACCCAGGATGCTTTCGTTGGTGATGTTTGTCCCTGTCACTTCCCACGAGGCCTTTGCCAGTCTCGTCGCTGCCCCGTGTGGTCGGCGAGTTCCTTCCACATGAAACACACGTGGAGGGACCCGTGTCCCAGGAGGGCAGCGGGAGAGGAGCACACGGCGGCACCGCGGACAGACGGAGAGGCACCGGGAAGGAAAGGTGGGGGCCGGGCAGAGAGAGCGCAGGGGGTGGGGAGAGCATCACACCGACCTCCCATCCGCTCCAGGAACAGGACGCTGGGGTCTGTGGCCGCACGCTCAGCGGCAGCCACGCCAGCCGCCAAAGGAGACGCCCTCGGTGCTGCCGAAGAGCAACGCGGCTGTGAACGCAGAACACGCGTGCTCCCGGCCAGTCCTCCGGGGATCACATGCCGGGAGCACGGGATCACGGATGCAAACCCCCTCGTTCTCCCTTCTGAGTCAGCGCCTCCCGAGCCGGTGACTCGGAAAGTCAGGCGCTGGTCACGGCGGCTTCCTCCTGCCGGCCGCATCCTCCTCAGCCCGCGGTCTGCTCTGCTGTCATTCTCGGGGAACGTTAAGAGCATTTTAAGCTGAAACTGGTGTGGCTCAGTGGATAGAGCGTTGGCCTACGGACTGAAAGATCCCAGGTTCAATTCCGGTCAAGGGCATGGACCTTGGTTGCGGGCACATCCCCAGTAGGGGGTGTGCAGGAGGCAGCTGGTCGATGTTTCTCTCTCATTGATGTTTCTGGGACTCTCTCCCTCTCCCTTCCTCTCTGTAAAAAAATCAATAAAATATATTTTTTATTTTTTATTTTTTTTAAATATATATTTTTAAAAAGAACATTTTAATTAACAATCTGCCGATGGCCTCTTGTCCGGGAGCCAGGGTCAAGGTCAGGCAGTCCTGGCGAAGGGCAAGCCGGCTCGGGAAGGCAGGGAGGAAGCCCTGCATCTCACACTGCGCCCCGGGCCTCTCCCGTTCCCCTCACACCGCGTTCAGGCTCCTTCCCGGGCCCGTGTCCGCCCTCTGGCCCGGAGGCCGGCGCACCCGGGCAGGCCGCGCAGCCTCCCGTGGGCCGCGTCCTGTCGGATGCCGGATCCCTTTCTCCCTGTGACCACGCCAGGAGCGAACGCACGCCGCTGGCACGTCCGTGTGCACAGAAGCAGAAACACGGACGCCGGGGATGGAGGCACGTGTGTCCTTTCCGGGAAGGGACCACAGGACCATCCACACGCCGGCTCCTGGCAGGAGGGAGGCCGGATAGACGGCAGGGCGGGGCCCGGGGTCCGGGGCCCGGGGCGGGCACCTTCCCAGGCGCCTCGGAGCCTGAGTCACCCTGCCGCCGCCACCCGCGGCTCTGGGGCTCTCCTTCCCGCCCGGCTCCCCCGCAGCAGCAGACGGGGGGGGGGGGGGGGGGGGCGGCCTCGCGGCACCGGGAGCTCCAGACGTGGCCGTGTCTGGGCCGCTGATGGTATTTATAGCTCCGGCGTGTCTGCCTGCTCCCGGGCTTCACAGAAAGTGTGTGGGAAGCAGGCCTGCTGAAGGCAGCAGCCCATGGGCATGAGCACGCGCCCCAGGCTCTGTGTGAGGGGGTCTGCCCCGGCCTGGCCCAGCGCCTTGGCTCTCCCGGGGTGGGGGCTGCGTGCCGGGACCAGCCTGTCGGAACCGGGAGCAGCCCCGCCCTCCCCATGGAGCCTGCCCCTCCTGCCACCGCTCCCAGGGCAGCTCCTCGCCGATGGGGGGGGAGGGGGCGTTCCCACCAACCCAACAGGGATGGTGCCCTGGACAGCCCTCCCCAAGGAGAGGACCACAGGGGGCCGGAGTGCCGCTGCTGCAGACAGCGCTGGGGCACCCCACATCCTCGGCTTCCAATCCACCCCAGGGGATCTCTTCTTTTATTTACTTTCAATTTTTTTTTTAATTTGAAAAAAATATATTTTGTTGATTTTTTACAGAGAGGAAGAGAGAGGGATAGAGAGTTAGAAACATCAAGGAGAGAGAGTCATCGATCAGCTGCCTCCTGCACACCCCTCACTGGGGATGTGCCGGCAACCAAGGTACATGCCCTTGACCGGAATTGAACCCGGGACCCTTCAGTCCGCAGGCGGACACTCTATCCACTGAGCCAAACCGGTCTCGGCGGGATCTCTTCTTTTAAAGGCAAACCTTTCCCCTCAGCATTAGGACCCTGCGGGGACGAGGCTGCAGAGCGGTGACACACCCCCCCCCCCCCCCCCCCCCCCGCACCTCCGCTCCGGGTGCCACCAGCCAGCCCAGCCTCGGGGTCAGGCGTGGTTGCGTCGGGGACAGAGGGCGGGGAAGACTCTGACGCTGAAGTCCTCCCCCTCCGATGGGCGGGCTGTGGTTGGGGAAACCCCGCAGCATCCTGGTTCACACCCAACGCCCCGGACAAAGCCCGGCTGGCAGCACTAGCAGCGCCTCGGACACCAGCATCCCCTGAGGCGATGGTTTTCTCCCCGTTAAAATGTGTGACTCTCCAGACCAGCGAAGGAACCGTTTGTAATGACAGTTATGAACAGTTTGTACTAAAGAAACACACAACAAGGCACCCATACCCAGAGTGGTTCACGCACATTCAACAATTTAAACAGCAAGAATGGATGTCCTACGTGCAGGCCAGCCCCCGAGTTAAAAGTATGGATTTTGTAGTTATTTTATTTTTAAAAAAATATATTTTATTAATTTCTTACAGAGAGGAAGGGAGAGAGAGAGAGAGTTAGAAACTTCGATGAGAGAGAATCATCGATCAGTTGCCTCCTGCACGCCCTCTACTGGGGATGTGCCCGCAACCAAGGTACGTGCCCTTGACTGGAATTGAACCCGGGACCCTTCAGTCCGCAGGCCGACGCTCTATCCACGGAGCCAGACTGGTTTCAGCTGGATTTTGTAGTTATTTTAAAAACCCTCACGTCTCCGTCGTTGAAAATAAGGTAGAGCCCACACTACGTGTTTTCAGTGCCTCTGAGTGAGATAATATTGAGAAGCTGCAGAGCAGTGAGCCCTGAGACATGGGTGAGGACCATACAATCGTGTTAGCATCCATCTCCACAGCACACGCGGGAACGGACGGACGGACCGCAGAGGCTCCGGCAGGGAAACGGCTCTGCCGGTGAGACCCTCCCGCGGGGAGGGCTCCGTCGAGGCCGGCTCGGTGAAAACGCGTGCGTCCTGCTTGAACGCCGAGCGGCTTTCCTCCGCTGCCGGCCAGCCGGGGAGCCGGGCTTCGAGCCGTCGCGGAGCGCAGCACCGGAGGCGATGCCGGCGGGAGCCCCTGGCGCGTGGCTGCCGAGTGCGTGGCCGCCGGGTCTGCTCGGCCACGTTCTCACCGCACACCGGCCGCAGCCGCAGGGCCGGCCTCGAGGCTCGGCCGCTCTGTCTCCTCCGAGCCCCAGCTCACTCCCCCGGAGCCCCGGAAGGCCGGCTCTCCCAAGGCCGTGGGTGGGAGCCGCCGTCACTTCCAGAACCTTCCTTCTCACTGCAGATTCTCGTCAAAGCTCGCGTCTGGGGGGACCCTTAGTGAGAGCCACACGAGGTGGGGATCAGTGACAACAACGCTCCCCCCACCCCCAGGTGTGGCGGCGGCCGGGGGGTGGCTGGGCGGGTTGGACACCCATAGACCTCTGCGCTGCGGGACAGGTTAGAAGTGAGATGCGTTTCCCTCCCCGACGACCCCACGCCCCAGTGAGAATGCTCACGGTAACCCCCGAGGAGAAGCCGCCCATAAAGCGGAGACACATCCGGTTACGATAACTAACCGTCCCCAGAAAATGAGACAGGAGAATCACGTGTGCTCATGCTTCCCTGAGAAGCATAATAACCAACCAAAAGCAGAAACACAACACTGCGGGTCCCTCTGAGTGGTCTCATCCCAGGAAGCGGGAGAGATCCTCGGAGCCGGGGACTCCCAGGAAGCCGGCCCCGCCCCGGGATGGCTCCGCCGGCTCCTCCCGGAAGGAGGGCTGGTCCCCGCACACTCCCCGCGCAGGGAAGAGAAAGGTCACCTGGGGAGCCAGAACTGATTCTTCCGTGCTTCCTCCGGATCACATGGCTGTGGTTATAATCCCTCCAAAATGAACCCCAGTCCATGCGACGGGGAAAGAACAGACTGAATACACGGCTGCAAAACGGGAGAAAAGCTGCCCAATTCGCCATTTCATAGCAAAGAACCACAGCGAGGGGCCTGGGGGTGGAGATTGGTCCGCTTCTCTCCATAGAAGGGCCCTCCGTCCGCGCCCGGCTTCCGCGGGCCGCGCCCGGCCACACTCTCGGGGAAGGAGGACCAGGCTCCGGCCACCGCCCGAGAGGAGAGGAGACTCCGCGCCGGGACTGCCACGGCGGCCGGGCGGCCGGACCAAAGGCGCTCTGCTGAGGCCCTGCCCACACTGGTCACCCCCGAGAAGAAGCCGCTCGTAAGCTGAAGAGCCTCAGCGTGTTCACTACACCGGCTCCCAGCGCGGCGTCCCTAAGCCACAGAGAGGCGTGGGGGCAGGCACCTCCCGTGACGGTCACGTCTCTCCTTCCCGGCCCACAGCGGCGCGGTGCCGAGCGGGGAAACAGAGCCCACTCCGCCCTGCCCGTCCCGGAGGTACCCGGCGGGCTCACCGCCTCAGGCGGGACCAGTTACCCCACAGACACCAGCACCTGGCACACGTGCTCGGCTGTGTCTGCCGCTCTGACACCCAGCGGCACCTTTGCTGACAAAGGCCTCGCAGGCCCCGTCTCGCCGAAGCCGTGGGGCCGTTCTGTGCTTAGCCTCATTTGCAAAGTTACTGATGACAAAAGTAAACCAGAGAGGCTCCCACAGATAGCCTGCGTTTCATGACATAATTGAAGGCAAAAAGAAAAGAAAAAAAATCCCACGAGAGATGGGTCCCAGGGGCCGTGTGAGGGTCCCGCCTGCCGGCTGGCGCCCAGCCCCAGCGAGGGGCCCACGGCCGAGGCCCCGAGCCGGCTGACGCCCTGTCCCTCCCTCCCCTTTCCAATCACAAGGCTGGGGTTCGGGGAGAGACTCGGGGCGAAGGAGCTGAGCGCACACCTGCCCACTGACAGAACGGGAAACTCGTGAACATTTAACGGGAGAAGCCAGGGGTTTGGGAAAGAATGTATGTTATCCTCTGAAAATCAGGTGGCTCCGACGGCAATAAGCAGAGGTCAGCAAACCCATCCTTCCGCAGAGCCCAATACCAACAGCACAACGACTGACATGTCTCTGGAGAGCCACATTCTTTAGACTTCAACTTCTTCTAACGCCACTTCTTCAGCACAGACTCACCCAGGCCGTGGTGCTTTGTGGAAGAGCCACACTCCAGGGGCCAGAGAGCCGCCTGTGGCTCTCGAGTCGCAGTTAGCCGACCATGGGCATTAAGTTTTCATTTCCCTGAAACTTCCCCGAATAGGAGGGAGGGAGGAGCCAGGGAGGAGCCTCATGCAGTGATTTCCCATCAAACCCTGGGAGCACTCCACCGCCCTCATCCCCAGCACCCTCTCCCGGGCCCGTGGGTGCGAGCGTGGCCAGCTTCATCGGAGAGCCCAACGCACCGAGAGGCGATGACGTGTCTGCCCATCACAGGGCCCCAGGGGAGAGGAAAGCCCTCTGTGAGCGCCGGCCGCTGCCTCCACCCAAGTCCCGCCCCTGCCACTCAGCGCTTTTTTTTTTTTTTTTTAATAAATATATTTTCATTGATTTTTTACAGAGAGGAAGAGAGAGGGATAGAGAGTTAGAAACATCGATGAGAGAGAAACATCGACCAGCTGCCTCCTGCACACCCCCCACTGGGAATGTGCCTGTAACCAAGGTACATGCCCTTGACGGGAATCAAACCTGGGACCCCTCAGTCCGCAGGCCGACGCTCTATCCACTGAGCCACACCGGTTTCGGCTCAGTGCTTTCTTCACCCACGCCTGCCCTCCTCCGTCATCTCCTCTCTCTTTCCCCAGAAGATAAGCTTCGATATCGCGATGCCGATCTTTAATTAGGCTCAAGAAACCCGCCTCGAAGGCCCTGCTGACGGACAACGGGAATAAAACTCCTGGGAAAAGGAGCTTCCTGTACCTGGGCCTCCAGCTGTCGGCAAAGCCCCCGTGCCCTCCGGTCACCGGCGATGCCCGAGGAAGACCCTTCAAACACCGAGGCGTTTATTGCGGTTTTTTTGTTGTTTTTTTTTTTAAATATCCACCATCTTCAGCTCCTGTTCCGAATTTCCCCAGAATCCCTTCACAGTTCATTGCACATCCAGTATCGAGATCGAGTTCTCACAAGGTGACAGTTGAAAAGACCATTGAGGAAAGACATCTTAGGAAAGAGAGGGTTTAAGGCAAGACATTCATTTGGGAAAGCTAATTTCTCTCCGTCGTCCGCACGGACCCACGATTCCCCCGCCTGGCCGCCGCCCTGGGCTGCACACGTCCATTCAGCCACTGGGCGCCCCGCCGGCCCCCGGATCCCCGCGGAGGCCCGGGGCGCCCATGGAGACCCTGGAATACCTTCGACAAGGCGTGGCCCCCGGGAACATGGCAAGGGAGGGGGACGATCACCCCATTCCAACCGAGGACACCAGGAACTCCCTACCAGCCGCCGTCCGATTCCCCCACCCCCGCCCCCAGCTCCACTCTCTTTTCCAACGAACCCAAACCCCCGGAGGAGGTGCTACGGTCGGCCGGCGGCTGTCAACACACACAGCAGCCCTCGAGGGCTTCCCGTCACTCCTTTCCCGACAGGTGTCTGTCGGCGCCGGCCGGGCCCTGGCTGCACAGGTGGTTTGCCGTGGGAAAGCTGTTCTGTCCCGAGGAGCTCTCGTCGAGCTTGGTGGACCGCGCCAGCGGCCTGTGTCCGGGGGGCTCCCGCCCCCTCTGAGTCTTTTTCACGGGGAGCAGCAGCAGGACCAGGATGCAGGCGACGTGAAGGCAGAAGTACCAGGAGCTGGAAGAGAGGGGGACGCGATGGCGGACCACGGGGCCAGCGACCACCCGTCACAGCCACACCTTCGTCCGAGGGCCACACTGACCTCCTCCCGCCCGCCCCCACCTGGAGGGACACCCGCCGGGCGTGTGTGTGTGTGTGTGTGTGTGTGTGTGTGTACCGTAGAAAGCCTCGAGGACTACAAGCATGAGCCTCGCCGCCATATTACATTCCTTCGTGAGGGTCGGAAGGCCGTGGCTGCACAGACCCAACACACAAGGAGCCTCAGCCCCAGAGGCCAAGGCCCAGCAGGCAGAGGGGGCAGGGCCCTCAGAGATGGCTGCTGCGCGCCTCCCCCGCTGGGTACTGTCCCTCATCAAGCCACTCGTGTTCTAACGACGTAACAGACAAGCGGTGTGGATGTCACTGTCACAAAATAAGGAAATGCCACATGGCCCTGGCCGGTGTGGCTCGGTGGACTGAGCATCGGCCTGAAGACTGAAGGGTCCCAGGTTCGATTCCAGTCAAGGGCATGTGCCTTGGTTGCGGGCACATCCCCAGCGGGCGGTGTGCAGGAGGCAGCTGATCGATGTTTCTAACTCTCTATCCCTCTCCCTTGCTCTCTGTGAAAACTCAATAAAATACATTATTTATTTTAAAAAAATGCCACATGATTAAAAATATTAGAAATCTCATTCCCCAAAGGAAATATAAGACTCTGGCGGGAGCTTCTGAGTGTCTTCCCCCCCGGGTGGTTTTCATCGCGTCCCATCCAACCGTTTCCGACCCCGGGTTCTGTGCTGTCCTTCCAAATGCCAAGGTAATGAAGAATTTATGAAAGAAGAAAGGTTTTGATTGCAAAGATAACACTAATGGGGGAAGGGGAGGAGTTAGAGAAATAAACCATGAAATTCAAGACAGTAATTCCTGTATCACAGAGGGGACCGGGGGCCGAGGACACAGGGCAGACAGAGGGGAGCAGAACCGGGTGCGTGAACCAGAACGAACTCACGTCATTTCCGTGAAAGGAAGTGAGAGAGGGGATGACTCCCTGCAAAGACCAGGCTCGCCCTCGGAGAGGCTGCGGGCGGCGGCGCCCGCTGACCGTGCTCCCAGCAGGCCCTGGTCCAGGGCTGGTGGTGAGATCGCTCGGCCAGGCCCCCGGCGCCCTGGCTTTAGACCACGGAGGAGCCGGGTGCGGGCAGCCGCGGGGAGCGGCCATGGTGCCATCTCCCCACCGTCCCCAGGCGCGGGCTTCCTCCGGGCACCGCCGGGCGCTGGGCGCTCACCTGTAGAAGGCGAAGGAGGGCCGCACGGACAGCAGCACGAAGGGCGCCACCGTGTAGCTCACGGCCAGCTGGGTGGCCGCCCAGGTGAGGGCGTCATACAGCAGCTTCAGCGGCGGAGGCGCCAGGAAGTGGTGCCTGAGGTTACTCCGCACCTGCAGTGGGACAGGGCACCTGGGTTACCGCCGCTGTGGGGGCCCCCCCTCCCGCTCAGGGGGCGGGACACCCCCTCCACCAGCCACTCAGGGGGCGGGATACCCCCCAACCCCCGTCACTCAGGGGGCGGGACACCCCCCCAGCCTCTCGGGGGCGGGACACCCCCCCCCAGCCTCTCGGGGGCGGGACACCCCCCCCAGCCTCTCGGGGGCAGGACACCCCCCCCAGCCTCTCGGGGGGCAGGACACCCCCTCGCCAGCCTCTCGGGGGGCAGGACACACCCCCCCAGCCTCTTGGGGGGCGGGACGTCGCCCTCACACTGTGGGCAGCGTCTAACGGGGACAGGCATGTAGAGAAACACGGGGGCTGGGAGCAGCAGCAGGCGACTAGTGTGGAGTCTGGGCAAAGGGCATCACTGAGGGGGAGCTCTTTGCAGTGTTTCTGTGGGTTTTTGCTGTGTTCAAGCTTAAAAACGTTTTTAAGT